CACAAATCTTGATTGCTGAGTGGTGTTGTTTATACGTTCCAGGTGACCTATTAATGGTTTAATACAGTAAAACTCACATAAGTCATATCAGTCGAGGTCATTACATTAAATCGACTTACACAAATTCCGAGTTGCAGGCAAGCTCTATTGTATAAAATCTGATTTAACCAATAATCTACACTGCGTATGCGTAATTCAGTGTAGCTCGTAAGTGTGGACTCGGTAGTTCGTCACCGCAGCTGGTAAGTGCGTATGAGGTGAAGGGTCGAGACTACATTTCCAGCGATTTAATGTGTCTTGACTTGTAGTCGCATATGTGCATTTACTGCCAAGTATTGAATTATGAGACGTGAAGTTGTTCTGCGGATTCTTTATACTTTCAAGACTACGTTTCGCGTTGCAGCTGTCCGGTGAGAACACATGGTTGATGGGTTAGGGCATCATTTCCCATGATTCAATGCAAGTGGTATATGTGGGAGCAATGTAGCGCAGGGGAGCAGTGTTACAAGTGTTACAAGTTAGCTCTTTAATATATGGTTTCGACAGCATCAGCATCCAAGGCTGTACGCTCCACCTCTCAAAGCCAGTCAGGAACCTCGGATGACACCCAACTCTACCTTTCCTCCTCTACCCTCAACTCCACGACCACCGATGTCCTGACAGCTGCCTGTCCGACATCGAGTCCTGGACGAGAGACAACTTTCTTCAGCTCAACGTGTGCAAAACTGAGGCCCTCCTGATTGGCTCACGTCAGCGCCTCCGCACCTCAGGCGCTGAGACCATCAGCATCCAAGGCTGCACTCTCCACCTCTCAAAGCCATCAGGAACCTCGGGGTTTTGTTCGACCCTGAGCTGTCCTTTCTTCCTCATATCCGCGCCACAACTGGCACCGCCTTCCATCACCTCCGGAACATCGCCAGACTACGGCACTACCTCTCCCCTCACGCTGCTGAAACCCTGGTCCACACCTTTATCACCTCAAGGCTGGACTATGGGAACTCTCTCCTCGCCGGCCTTCCCGCCACCTCCCTTCACAAGCTGCAGGTCATCCAGAACTCTGCAGCTCGTGTACTGTCCCGCACCAGGCTTCGCGACCACATCACTCCCACCCTCGCTCACCTCCACTGGCTCCCCATCCCCCAGAGGATCGAATTCAAGATCCTCATCCCCTAGTGCCTTCGCCTTGCTTCCTCCCTTTCCTCCTTCAAGGCCGGTCTCAAGACCTTTCTCTTTGACCGTGCCTTCAGCTCCCCTCTCGACTCTCTACCCCCTCCTCGCTCCCTCCCTTCCCTCCTCACCCTGACCATTTCCCCCTTGCTCGGGTCCTGACCCAACTGTCCAGCGCCTTGGGACGTCCTCCCGATGTGAAAGGCGCTCTATAAATGAAATGTTGTTGTTGTTGAAAAAGAATGGGATTTGGGCGAATGTACGATTTAGGTGATTTATATGATTTATAAAGTTAAGATTTGCTTGAGTTTTACTGTATAACATTTCTGGAGAAGGATGTTTTTTGTATAGAAAGGCATTAGAAGGAAGGTGACTTTATAAGATATATTGTATAAAAATGTGAAAAAAATAGGGGTGGAAGGGGATGGTTTTTAAGGCCAGAAAACCTGTCCACCTCTCATTGCCAATGTAGGCTCAATCAATATAATGAGAATGTTTAAAGTTGTAACATAACACAGACACTGAATGTTTTGGGGTAAGGTTACTGAATTGTGGAGTCCTGTAGCTCAGTGGTTAGAGCATTCGCTTTGCAAGTGAGAGACCTGAATTCAATTCCAGGAGGGCGACACCTTGGGGAAGTTTCCTTACTCCACACAGAGCCTAATAATAATCCCTCCAAAACAAAACAATAATAAATTGGTCATTTTCAATCTACGACTGTTTGTGGGACATTGTTGTGCACAATTGGCTGCCGCGTTTGCCCACAAATATGCAGTCAATTCACTTTACAGTGTGTTCTGTGAAGCGCTTTGGGACGTCCTCCCGACGTGAAAAGCGCTATATCAAATGCAAGGATTATTATTAAGTCTCTTTGGTTCAGATAAGGTATCCAAAAATTGCATATTGGCTTGTGTGCTTGTAACTGTAGCTGGAAATAGTGATGTGTTCCAGTAACTGGAATTGAAAACTCTTAGGAAGTAAACATTGGAATGGAGGTGCTATAGATCAATGAAGATGTGAAAAGCGCTATATCAAATGCAAGGATTATTATTATTTTACATTTACTATTAGGAGGTGCTATTTACAGCAAATGGCCAAAATTCTGCATGCTCTAGTTCCAGCTTTAACTGCAAGTGATTTTCCTTCATGTATCTGCAAGATGAAGTTGATGCACTCCAAATGATCCAACTGATCATGATATCACAGCAGTGACTTTATCCCATATGCAAAAAAAAATTCAGGGTCAGTCTTTGCAAAAAATATCCAGACAGAATGTGCCCTGCCTCAATAAAACATATGTGTTTCTGTCTCCATTGTTGTATAGTTACAGGTTAAATGTTCCAGCATTTCAAACTTGTTCTTTTCCCTATATTATTTGTGTATTGTCCTGCATTTGACAATATGCTGCTGAACTAGAAAATGCGTTGACATTTAATAGTAATAATAATCCTTGCATTTGGTGATATAGTGCCTTATCACCTCATCGAGACGTCTCAAAGCGCTTCACAGAATAAAGTAAAGTAAATTGATTGTGTATTTTGTGGGTGAAACACAGCGCCAATTGTGCACAGCAGTACCCACAAACAATTGTGAATTGAGTGACTAATTTTTTTTTATATAGAAGGAATTATTACCCCTGGAAAGCAATCTGCCAATTGACTAACAAACAGGTTCCTACTTACTGCTAGGTAAACAGAGGCGTGTGGAATAAGGAAACTTGCCCAACGTTTCACGCTGCTGGGAATCAAAGTCACGTCTCTCGGTTGCGAGGCAAATGCTGTAATCACTAAGCTACAGGGCTCCACAATTTGTTTAACAATTAATAAAATCAAAGCTGCTATCCTCAGTATGTTTAGCTTCTAATGATGTGTATTAATATTGTATCAGTCACCCTCCTACCCCACCCTCCTTGCCCTCTACTCCCCCCGATCCCAACCCCAGCTCGAGTGCAAATCCCAGACGTTCTCCCAACTTGAAAGGCACTATACAAATGTAATTTGTCATTGTATCCGTGCATAATATGTTTTTCATCACATAACTTATCTATTGTGAGAGACAGATACGACAGGTTGAAGTTACTTGCTCAGGAACTGGGTTACGCAAAAAGTAAAATAATAATATTTTTTGCATTTGATATAGCATCAGGAGGACATCTCAAAGTGTTTCACAGGATTTTCTGTATAAAGTGTAGTGACTACATTTTGTAGTGGATGTGGCAGCTAATATGCACATAGGAATTTGCAGGAGCAAGCAGAGGGCTGCTGATGATCATGCAGAAAAAAAGGAAGGATTAAATTGAGGATTAAAAGCAATGAATTTGAAGATTGTTGAAGGATTATATACATTGTATGTTGAATAAGTTCACATATGGTTTTAAAGGTGTTTCCTTGCAAAATTAAAATTGATAGAAAATGTTTACTTGATCAGGTAAAACACTATAACGCTTGAAATTAATGTTGCATATAAAAAATTCATTATGTGCAATCGCACTACTTTGAAAGCTATGTGTATTATATAAAAAATATTTTCTTTACTCTTGCTGGTTTCAAGCAGTGGTTCCAGAAATGAGAGTGCAGTATACAGTAGGTGAAACAAACTTTTACACCTTCTATATTTTCCTTTATTTCTTATTGTGAGCTTGCCTCTGGGAAATATTCAACACTGCTAAATCCAGCATATCCTGATCCCTATGTTACTAGTTTTTTAACTACAGGAGCTCTACAAAGTTCTTTCAGTTGAAGCTGGATCTTTTGTGGTTGTGCTTTTAAGTTGGAATTAGCTTAAAAGATTATTTTCCATCAAACGGCTTTTGAACTTTTTCAGAGCTACTGTAGAAATTACAGTTGGCAGGTAAAGCAACATAGGTGTTTAAAAAAAACTGAAAGGACTAAAACAACGACAACTTGCATTTATATAGAGCTCTTCGCTCAGGGTAGTGTCCCAGAGAGCTTGACAGTGACGCTGAGCCGAGGGGATGGAGGTGAACATATGCAGTGTCGAATAGGAAGGTCTTCAGGTGCGACCTGAAAATGGGGAAAGAAGGGGCTAGGCGGAGGGATAAATTCCAGAGTTTTGGGGCATAGTGTCTGAAAGCTGGTCACCAATAGTGGATCGGAGGGCACGAGGGACATGCAGAAGGCCGGAGCCAGTCGAGAGGATGCAGTGGGTTGGGGGGCAAATGGGTCGGAGGGATAGGGAAGTACCAAGGCATGAAGGGGTTTGAAAGCAAGTGTGAGGATCTTGAAATCGATTCATTTGGCGATAGTGAATCAGTGGGGCCTGGTTAGAACTGGTGTAATGGGTACGGTGTTTAGTGCAGGTGAGTATGTGGGCAGCGGAGTTTTGGATCCTGTGCATGGTGGAGCTGGGGAGACTGGAAAAGACGGCATTTGAGTCATGAGGTGACAAATGCATGGACGAGTGTTTCAACTGCGTCTGGGGGTACGTACGCTCGGAGGCGGGCAATGTGGCAGAGATGGACGAAGGTGGTCCTGGTCAGGGACCGGATGTGGGGAAAGGACAACACTTGTGGGTCGCACCGGCGCCTAGGTTGCGCATTAGTTCGTTGAATCTATGATTACTCATCTTTGACAAGAACTGATTAGTTAGTTTATATTACTTACGATCTTTCTAGTTCAAATAACTTGCAATGACTATAGTGAAGGCATTAATTATTTCAGGGATTTTATGTTATTAACCGAAACCATTATTCTTCTCCTGTCTTTCCTTTTTTACTCCTCTGTCCTTCTATTGCACTCTGCTAGTAATCATATCATTTACATCATCTGTCACACCATTTTTAAAATGTTTTTATCTGTTTGATGCCTTTACAGGAGCAGAAGGCGGTATAAATTCCGAAGTTGAAAAACACTTGGAGATGGGGAAGAAGCTTTTGGCTGCAGGACAGTTGGCAGATGCTTTGTCTCATTTTCATGCAGCCATTGGTTTGTACCTTTTTTGCCAATGGCATCTTCTAAAAGCACCACATCTATAATAATAATAATAATCCTTGCATTTGATATAGCGCTTTTCATGTCGGGAGGACGTCCCAAAGCGCTTCACAGAATATACTGAAAGTGAATTGACTGTATATTTGTGGGCGAACGCGGCAGCCAATTGCGCACAGCAATGTCCCACAAACAGTCATGAATTGAAAATGACCAATTTATTATTGTTTTTGGTTTTGGAGGGATTATTATTAGGGGTGTGGAGTAAGGAAACTTGCCCAAGGTTTCGCCCTGCCTGGAATTGAACTCAGGTCTCTCACTTGCAAAGCGAGTGCTCTAACCACTGAGCTACAGGACTCCACCTCTCTAACCATTTAGAATGACCAAAGTACATTTTAGCAACAAAACCCAAAAACATTTGTTGGCCTCATGAAGAGGTGCTACCAATACCCCATCTGACGTTCGTACATGCAATCCCAGCAAAGGTTGCTAGAGAGTGATCAAGTGTCGGAACTCAGGCTGATTTATATTGTCTTTATCCCGGGGGCTCTGACGTTGAGGGTATTCAAATCCACTTTGTGGCAGCTCCCTACCTCTCCGACCACCTGGCACCTCCACTCAACTGGTACCGGCCTCCTGCTCGTCCCTCGCACCCTCCGCCCTCCGCCCCACCATCGGAAGTGGTGCTTTCAGCCACTGTGCCCCCAAACTCTGGAACACTCTCCCTCAACCCCTCTTCCTTGCCCCTCTCTCCCCTTTTTAAAGTCCTTCCTGAAAGCCTTCATCTTCGACCGTGCTTACGGCCACCTTCCCACCAATCTGGCTTGGAGTCAGGCTTCACCACTGTTAAGCGTTCTGAGGTGTTACCTTGCATGGAGGGTGATATAATTGCAAGTTGTTGTTGTGTATATTGCTGCTCAGCCAAATGCAAAGGTGGTACTCTGTATGGTATCGATACTCTAAGCATGTTGGTGTGTTCCACATGCGTCAAATGCGTGATTTACCAAAGGAAAATTCCTAATCAACCAGATTAACTTAGATCAAGAGTTAAATGTGGGACCTCCCTGATTGGTAAAGTTCAGTATAATATATAATTGGTATTATCCCTGAGTAGTCGGAGAACCCGAAACCATTTTTATTGACGTTGATTGTTTTTATTTAGTAACTAACCAAATTAAACATTCCTACCACTATTGGACTCTGTTGACATGTCAATAATAATAATAATAATCAGCCTTGCTGTTCATATAGTGTTATCACATCATCGAGACGTCTCAAAGCGCTTCATATACTGTAAAGTGAATTGATTGTATTTTGAGTGACCGATATTATTTGAGGGATTGTTGGCGAGGACACCGGGAAAAACATCCACTTGAGCAGGCAGACTATTTAACGTCTCATCCAAAATGTACGATATAAAGCAGAGTGCACAAAGCAACATTTGAAGACTGCTGCATTGACAATAACTTGGATTGAAGGCTTCTGAATCATTTAGTTATCAAAAGGGTTGAATAGGTTGGTTGTCCAAATGAGCTGATAGCCTTGCTGATCCTCACATTCTTATAACCATGATAATTTATGTTTACAGATGGAGATCCAGAGAACTATGTTGCCTATTATAGAAGAGCCACAGTCTATCTAGCTATGGGTAAATCCAAGTCTGCTCTTCCAGATCTAAGTAAGGTCATTGAACTGAAGCCAGACTTCACAGCAGTAAGTAATGTTCTTTAATCCTTGTTCATTTTGATTTTTTTAGATTGATGAAACATTTGGGTTTAGAAATTATAACTTGGTTGCCATAGAATTTTGTTGATAAATGATGCCTCGTCTATTTCTTTAGGGATATGTATTATAAATGTATACCTGAACTCTTTCTTTCATGGACTCTAGATTATAAATGATGTTAATTGATTTTGGTCTTAGGCTAGATTGCAGAGAGGAAATTTGCAACTAAAACAAGGGAAACTGGATGAAGCAGAGAAGGACTTTAAGAGAGTGGTAAGTTTGCAGAGGTATGCGTTGGTCTTAAATTGTTTTCCGGTTGTTTATTTTCTTTTCATCCATAAGTGAATTCTAATTGCTACTACTTATCTTTACAGTAAACATAAAGATTCCTATATTTGTATCTCTATTATTGAGCTACACAGCACAGTAAGCAAAACCTTTACTGGCTCAAGGTTGAAATATGAGAATACGCACTTTTGAACTATTAGATCTGCTTAGACTCATTATTTTAAATTAAAATTACTAAGTGAATAATAACTAGCAAGGAACAAATGGAAAACTAAGGATGAGCCTAGTACATTTCCAAACCCGCCACCCTGTAAGAAAATAGTTCAGATACAAGTGGCTTTCTATCAATGCGCCCAGAAATTATTCTTTTGAATACTGAAGAAATTTGCTGCTTTCTCCACATTTCCAGTATCCAGATACTGCTGGAAAGGTTATACTACTATTGTCTGACAATATGTGGGTAAGATATTTTTGACACAAGATAGGAAGACCACATCATCTTTCTGGTCTGTCTTTGAATAGAAGGTGAACCACACTCACTCTCCTTTTTTTCTGCATATTTATAAAAAAACATATTCATCATTTATTGAATGACAGCCTCACTATCCATGGTTGCACACTCCACCTTGCTAAGCCAGACCGGAACCTTGGGGTCTTGTTTGATCCTCAACTATCCTTTCTATCCCACATCTGCCATGACCAGCTCTGCCTTCCCCCACTTCCGCAACATCGCCCGGCTCAGCCACTGTCTCACAACGCAGGCCGCCCTCATACATGCCTTCATTACTATGCAAACTCACTTCTTGTTGGCCTCTCCAACTCCTCCCACCACTGCCTGCATCCAGAACTCTGCAGCCCGTGTCCACTCCTGTACTTGGCTCCGTGACCCTATTACCCCCATCCTTGCCCAACTCCATTGGCTTCCCATCACACAGAGGATACAGTTCAAGATCCTGGTTCTCACCTTCAAAGCCCTCCATGGTCTTGCTCCCCCCTAACCCCCTACCATCCTGTTCGCTCCCTCCACTCAGCGGGCTCTGGGCTGCTTCCCGTCCCCTGCCTTGCTCGCCCCACTATTGGTGGGCGGACCTTCCGCCACTCTGCCCCCACCCTCTGTAACTCTATCCTGCAGTCCTTCCGTCTCGCCCCTTCCCTCACCACCTTCAAGATCCACCTCAAGACCGTCCTCTTTGACCATGCGTTTGATCTCCCCATTATTAGGATCGGTGTCCTGATAACTCTGCTGATAGCTGTTTTGAGTCATTCTAGCCAATTGTTTTTGTTTTGTATTTGAACTGTTTCACTTGCGCAAAATCTTTCTCATTGTAAGAGTTTCCCTATAACCTGGGCCAATAGAAAAGTGAGGAAATATTTGCCAAAAGTGCAGGAAAATTTGAAAATGTTGTGAAACATTGCAGGGAGATTTTACATATTTTGTAGGGCGTTGATTGATGTCATTGAGGTACCTTTTACTGCCAACCTACATTTTTTCATTTTATTGATAAAAAACTAAACTCGAGGTAATAATACATAATAGATTAATGTCTTCAACAAAAACTGTGTGGCCCATTTGGGGGGGAGGGACACCACACGCGCGCAGACACAGAGAGATACACGCACACACACACAGAGACAGATATACATTCAGACACAGAAAGACACATGCACTAACAGACGCAGAGAGAGACGCGCAGAGAGGGGCGTGTGCACTCGCGGGCTCAGAGAAGGGCGGGCGCAGACACTCATAAACACACACACCTAGAAGAGACACGCACAGACACACTCGTACATACAGAGGGGAGAGAGACTTACACTTTCACATAGACATTCATAAACACACACACTCACACACATAACCATGCAGAGCAGAGAGGCACATTCACAAACACATAGAGAGAGATACACACAATCTCAACAGCAGGGTCTCTGAGTGGAGTGAAGCCCATTTTTCCTGCTTGCGTCACATATTGGCCCTGCCCATAACTGAGGAACATTGGCATCTAAAGCTATCAGAGAGAATTTTTTGAGACAGAGTTAATTCAATTCCAAAATTTGTTGCCAGGCACATCATCTTGGAGCCAGCTCAGCTCCATGGGGACCTCACTTACTTCCCCCACCAAGGCGAAGCTCATTGGTGCAATTTCACTGTGCTGATTGCACTTTTGGGGGAATGTGTTAGTTATATTGATGTGTAGATCTTTTTTTTAATGAACTTGCCCTTTACATATAAGTCAAAAAGTTACTCTCCACCATTACTCTTGCACTTAACCAGCAGCATTGAATTCGGAGAAGTGGCACACTTGCCGCCCGGCTGCATTCAATTGTGGAAGACTGTCGCTGCATGCGCAGAAGAACTTAATTTCATGCGATTTCAATGCTGGTCGCAAGCATGTGGCGACAGGTTAAAACACATTGAATCACAGAAAACGTAGTCTTGACCAGTCACCGTACTTACTGGCTGTAGTGATGAAGTACACACGTTCAGTTACCGACTGAATTAAATTATGCATGCACAGTTTAGATTATTGATACAAGTTTGCCTGTAACTCGTTTTTCGTGTAAGTCATATGAAATGTTATGGCCCTGACTGATACGACTTGTGTCTAGAGTACAGTAACAGTTTTTTGTAACAGTTTCCAAAGATCACCAGCAGGTATCATTGCAGGCAAAGAAATGTTCTACTTCAAAGGATGTTTGGCTCCATCTGGTGAGATACATAATTCCTAACCCTTGCCATCTTTTAATTTTTGAGGGAAGAAAGAGGAAGGCACATTGACACAAGTCAACTAATTTTGTAATTAATTTTTTTTTTAAAAAATGCAACTTTTTTTGTGCAATGATCAGTTATGGAATTTAAGCAACTTTAAATTGCATATATGCATCACTGCTCTAATACATTTAATTTTTAGGCACACTTCATTCAACAATATTATATAATATTTAATTATTTGGCATTTAGAAAATACTTTCTTAGGTTAACAGAATCTAAGTACCTATCAATAACCATTTCTATATTAACAGCCACAAAGGGCTGGGACTAAGAAGGGCAGTGAAATCCATTTATGTCTCTGCTGCTGTATATAGCTTTTGCAAACTTGTCTTTGATGAATGGAATTTCATGGATTTGCAAGACGTTGTTTGTCATACTGCTGTATTGGAACAAAGAGGACCACATTATGAGGTTGGCTGATCTTAAAAATTACTGCAGATTAATGTTTCTGTCATTTCTTTTCAATTAAACAAAACATAGTCAGCTCTTTTAATTGCTGTCATTGATATGGAAGATTATGCTCTCTACCAGTGACAGTTTTCAAGATTATTCAAGACCAATAAGTGCTTACTCATTTTGAATTTTGACAAGAATTTTGATTAACTAATCGTATTAGTTACAATAGAAATTTATTTTACTGTAGTTGTCATTATTCTTGGCACCTTTCAGATTTACATTACAAATTTTAGCACAAAAGGAGGCCATTTGGCTTTCATGTCTCCCCATTACTACCCCTCTTTTTTAAATTTCCCTTTTATTAATCCAGCCTTTCCTATATTCCTTTGTTTTTCTTCTCAGATGCTTATTTAGCTCCCTTTTGAATGATGCTGTTCATCTTGTAGTAATGGATTCCATTTATCTTGAAAACTATTGTCTTGTAACGTAAGACTATGCAGAATTTTTGAAAAATCAGTTCTGTTTTAATTGGATTTTGGTTCCTGCAATTTTTAAAAATTCTTGGTTTTAAATAATTCAAGGTGCTAATATAAGTTAATTTTACTAACTTACTTAACATTTAATTGTACACAAAATCCATGGTATATAGATGCAGTTTTCGAATGAGGAACTAGAGTTTACCAACAACTTTGTGAACATAGGTTATTGTTTTGCACTTGGATCATCCATTCTGTGAAAGCAGTCATTGGGATAGGTTGTGCCTGTGAAGAGAAAATGTTGAGTGGCTGCTGGTAATGGAGCCGGTATTTGTCCACCTGAAAAATTTATGTTGAAAACGTGGAACAATGAGACTTTATTTTCCTTATTCAAAGTTATACAGTTCTCTGACAAAGCTCTTACAAATGTCCTTTAACGAGCCTTTAATGTGCTTTAGAATTCCAAATGTTTCAGATATTTTGCCATTCCACATGTTTTTAAGACTGCTTTTTTGATATTATGAGGCATCTCAGCATTAAAAATACTGATACTGTATTCCTACTGTGGCATTTTGATCTGTTAGTGCACTTAGTGTCAGTGCACTAAGTGACATGGGGATAAATTTTACCTATAACATGTCATAGGTCTAATAAATAAACTTAAATTGTAAGGTGAGATACATAGAGCATCACTGCGAAAACCAAATTATCAGTGCCATTCCCAGAAGAGGCCTGGAAAAATTTGGTGGTAATCATTTTGGAGCTTCCAGAGTTTAATAGAGTTCTAATAGTCCTTTTTCGTCGAGGGTACAATTTTTCTTCCCATTTCAAAATACTTCAGAATTAATTTTTCTCCTACAGAGTTTTGAAGTGACTACTATAATTCTTGGTTCTTGTTGAACAATACTGCTTTAGGGAGACAATGTCCTTGTATTTGTAACCTTCAGAATGACCTCATCATGCATTCAGTGAACTCTTTTGAAGATTTTTCCTCAGAAGAGTTGTGGGTTTCCCCAGGCAGTCACGCATAGTGTCTCATTCTGCAAATATTTTTTTTGCTGTGTGAATTGGGATTTCTTGCGTTAAAGACATTGGTTTAATGGAATGAAGACCATTTTCAGTATCAATTTTTATTTATAAAATCTGTCTAGGGATAAGATTGTTCCATTTGCATGCAAGTAGTAATTCGATATTAAATGCAATCTGAAGAATTGCAGTCTTGCAATTATTTGTTTCAGCAGTATTGTTGTCTTTTAATTCCAGTTGTGTTAATAGATACTTTAATAATGAATCTAATAAATCTAAGTTATGTGCTCTGACTACCAGCACTAAATATTTGCGCTGATAGTTCTTGTTACCCGAGGCCTGAAAATTTTCAAGGTCTTAACCTTAAAAGTTACATTTTAACTCTCCTCTCCCCACCACAATTACCTGGATTATTTGTTCAAGTAATGGCAGTAATTTCTAATACACAGATATTTCTGTTAGAGATTGAGAGTTTTCTTCTATTAAAGTAAATCTCCAAGGATGAGGAAGCGTATGCAGCCTATTTTGGAAAGCTGAATATAAGGTATAGGTGGTGCTGTAGAACAGTAAGGAGCTTTCACTGCACTGTTGTTCACAGTTGGTGAAAGTGTTGTGAAAGTACTTTCAGTTTTAGTAGCTGTTCAGCATTTTCTTGACTAATAATAGTAGTTAAATGTTTATTTTTTGTCTTTGGTAGAAATCTCTTTCTCTCTCACCTTATCCTCTTTATTTCTCTTACCTTTCCCTCTTTCCTCTCATTATGACAAGAACCTCTTGATGTTTGTAGATTCTCTTTGTTTTAAATCTGGGAAATAAATTATATTTTTAAACGTTACCTTTTATGAGATCATTGAGAAACCGCTTTTGGGAAATTTTATTTTCTCTCTACTTTTGTTTTGGTTGTCTGACTCAGGGGTTCCCAAACATTCTGTGCTCAAGGCCCCCGTGACATTAGGCATCCTGACTTGAGGACCCCCACTCATGTTGCGCTGTGGGGCAGTGAGGCAAGGCTGCTGGGAGGGCACAAGTTCTCTTGGCTCCAGCACAGATTAGCTCTGTTCTGTAGGCATTCACTGGACTTGTTCAGCCTGATGGAGTGCTGGGAGCCCGATTCCTCATCAGACAAACTGTACTGCGAGTTACTGTGAGCTTGCCTTTGGACTGAGATGGTCATAAGGATTCTCAGGTAGATCCAAGCTCAGTGAGTCCTACCTTCTCTGGGGATGTTCTCATCGAGGGCTTGTCCAAAGGACCAGCTTTGGCCTCTGTAGAGTGACCTCCTCTACCCGGTGCTCCGGGCATCTCACTATCATTCAGCACCACAAATGGCTGCCCTGAAATAGCTTGCACTCAAACCATGACCCCATGAGAGTCTGTCTTGGGACTTGTTGGGGTCCTTTAGATTAGGTCTGCACCCATCCGCCGTGCTGGATTACTGCATCTCATCAACAGTACTGAGGAGTGATCTTTGGGATCATGCCTTTCTCACCCACTCCTCGAAATCTTGTGGAGTCCTGTAGCTCAGGTTAGAGCGCTCGCTTTGCAAGCAAGAGACCTGAGTTCAGTTCTAGTCAGGGCGAAACCTTGGGCAAGTTTCCTTACTCCACACGCCTAATAATAATCCCTCCAAAACCAAAAACAATAATAAATTGGTCATTTTCAATCTACGACTGTTTGTGGGACACTTCTGTGCGCAATTGGCTGCCGTGTTCGCCCACAAATATACAGTCAATTCACTTTACAGTGTGTTCTGTGAAGCGCTTTGAGATGTCCTCCCGACGTGAAAAGCACTATATCAAATGCAAGGATTATTATTACATCCACTGACCCACTTGAGGCATAAAACCTCAACCATTGTTAATGATAGATCGCCCATACTCTGATTCAGATTTTGAAAGCATGATATCAGATCAGATGAAAGGATTTCTTCATACAAACCTTTCTTGTACAAAGAAAACAACTCTTTTTGCATGAAGATTTTAAACCTGCTTGCATTGGGATGGAGAAAACTATTTCAAAGAGATTAGGGAGTCCTAGATTAAAAAGCTAAAGTTGACTATCCTCCCTGCCTTATCTTTAAAAAGGAAGCTTCATCCTTGCAATATACATACAAATAAATCACCGTTTTCTTGTTTCTTCTCCTTTGTGCATATATGCACATTTGAGAATATTTGCATATTTTGTCTTGTTTTTTAAAAAAAAATGCTCCTAGCAGAATGGGATCTCACAATCTTGTGCAAGTGTAACATTTGGATGAAATGAATTGCAGGGAAGTATTAAACATTTAACCATCTGGATCCATCTTTTTTTTTAAGCTGCAAACTAACCCCACTGAGAAGGAAAAAAAGGAAGCCACGTCTCAACTGGTTAAAGCAGATGAACTGCAACGATTGATGACTCAGGCACAAGCTGCATATAAACATGAGGATTACCGTACTGCTGTTGTATTCCTAGACACTCTTATTGAGGCAAGTTTTAACTGCTATTCCTGGGTAAAGTCATGATTACTGACCAGGCCATTGCTTTCACTTTATTCCCTTAGCCATCACAAACTCTTCCACCTCTCTTTCCCAAAGGAAGGATTACTTCAAACTTCTGTTTATCGTTTTACTCCTTTATCTCTATGTTTCACTTACTCTATTGTTCACTCTATTCTCTTCTGCTTTTGCACCTTAAAATACCTCCATCGCACCATGATTCCATTTCTGCCTGCTCCAATACCATCACTGCATCTCTACCATGCTTGCACTTTAGGTGTACCCCAGCACTTCACCCTTTGTTTTTTCCCTTCCCTATATACTTGCTACCCCCTAGGAAACATCTGTAAGAATGTGGTTAGCTTCCATATGTATGCTAATAATGCCTACCTCTATGTTTGAAACCTTTTATTTTTGTAATCACCATGGTGATGAGGATTGTTAGTTGTGGAACCTGTTTAAAATTTTTTCATTATTATGCTTGGATATTTCTATTCTAAGTACAGGTATTTCCCACATCCACAGCTAATATCTTCCCACCATATTTTTAGACAGTCCATTGTTAAGCACTCTACTATATTCCCATTGTTTTAATGTATTTATTGCTTTTCTATCCCAGATGTTAAAGCTGGTTATAACTTAATTATAGTTGTATGCCATCTGTATTCAATACTGGAAGCTTCCCAACAAGGGTTTATCACTGAGTTTCTTGTTTATAATAACTTAAAATGGCTTTTATTCATGTGTGTTATCACAGTAAGTGCCACAGACTTCTTTCCAGCTTTCACCAATACATGGTGTTTCTGCAATATAACTTTAAAACTGCTTAGTTTGCCATTTAAATCAGAAAATAAGAGGAAGGAAAAATATTAATAAGATAATAAGCAACATTTCACATTTGCAATAAAATGTGCTGAATTTGTAGAATTATTACAGTCTTGTCATTTGACATTTTACAATCTGTATCACCCTTTTCTTCCCACTCCACCTATTCCTAGGTTCTAATTGAATAGATATTTCTACTCTTATATAATTCATTACAGATCTGATTTACTGGCAAATTGTTTTTCTGTTGTAACATTTTACATCCTTCCAAGAATTCTTAAAATGCCCAGTATGTGAATTGTAACTTTCTGATATTCTTGCACTGATGTTCTGTCTTCCCTGATTTTACATAACCAATCTAACTTCCCTAAGTAGTGTTTACTGATCAAGGAAGATCCGTAGCCTTACATTTTGTATGCACTTAGTATACTGTTCTTCCAAATTTATCCAATACGCATGCACGTTTAGCATTGATCAAGCATGTTTCATTATTCTTCCAACATTCCGAGACACTATCCTGCATGAAGGTTGCTATATAAATGAAAGTTGGTGTTTGTTGCATTAGTATCGACTCATTCCTAAAAGCACGTATTGAAACTCGTCAAACTGAATGTTATTTGGCAGCTGGTTTCAGGAAGGTGAGTGGGGAAGGGTGGATTGGCGGGGGGAACATTTCGTCACAAATGACGAAATGTCCAGTAGAGTCCAGTCCTCTAGCGTACTCGAACTGGACTCTAGGGTATTATGGTTTACAGATTTCATTGCAGTTATGTTTGTTTTAAAATAATATCTCTTAACACAATTGTGCTCCTCTGCAACAGACAAAAAGCATTTGTGAAAAAAAACTTTGTATGGCAAGGGGACCTGTATTACTTACTCAGTTATTTTGTGATCGTCAGGGCCTTGGGATGTCCTCCTAACGTGAAAAGGCACTATACAAATGTAACTTTGTTGTTGTTGACCGCTCTTGCACTCTGAAGTTTTATGAACATGTGCAGCATAATCTCTGACTTCGCAGGGCCTGAGGTAACATGAGTATTCGTATAGCTATTTATGTTATTGCTTCAAAAAAAGGTACAAGTTAGCTTGCAGCAATTTGCCTTTGGTAGGCACCATTCATTAATAAAGCATATGCAAATAAAGCATATAAGAAATGAATGTTTTTATGTTTTAAGTGTATCGCTGATGATCTCTCACTCTATTCTGGGTTAGACATGTGTTTGGGATTCTGAGTTGAGAGAACTCCGGGCAGATTGCTACATGCAGATTGATGAACGTGGAAAAGCAATAAGTGACCTAAAAGTGGCATCAAAATTGAAAAATGATAATACTGAAGCATTCTACAAAATCAGCATAATCTATTACCAACTTGGAGACCATGAAATGTCTCTTGGGTAAGTTTATATTTTTTTCCTTTTATTTTCTGAATTAAATGGCAAACTAAGCAATTATTCTTGTTCAACATGTTCACTAGTGAAGTTTGACAATTCAGGAATTTCACTCATTAGTCTTGTCAAACGTTCCATTCGTTTAGTAGTCAGGGTAAGGGTACAGTTCAGAACAGAGACTTTACATATTGTGAAATGACCAAGATCCCACCTTCACGGGTATCCTTTAAAGTACAATAAAGTACTAGGTGGTTCTTTCCCTCGCCAAAGAGATGTGATGATTCACAATTGGATGCAGAGTTTGAACTTTCTTTTCAAAGAATGAGGAAGAGATTAGGAACTTAAAAGTATAGGAGGATGTAATCTGGCCTGTAGAACTTACAAAGTGGTGCTCACTCATGCACTGGAGCCAACTACTATAATCCTATTTGCATTGTAGGTTACTGTACCCTCTTGTTTCGTTTCTCTAAGTTTTATTCCAAATTCCTTTCAACTGCTAAGGTCAGTCTCGATCACCACTTATGGCAAAGTATTCCCTATTCTAATAACTCTTTGTGTATTTGTTTCTTCCACCTTCCACTTTTATTCTTCTAATGATGATCCTGATTTCATGACTCCTTGTTTCTAATTTTACCAAGCAACAGAAATAATGTTTCACTGTCAAACTTCTCAAAACCTTCCAGAATTTTTAAGACCTTTTACTCTGGGTCTAGAGTAAATTGGGCATGGTTAGGTCACCTTAGGACTTAGGCCCTTACCCGAATGAGCCTGAAAGGCCGTTTGAGGCTCAACAAATAATCCTCACTTCCCCTAAGGATGAAAATGCAGCACACAGACGTTTTCAAGTGCTTTCGGGCACTACCATTTAGAAGTCGGAGTAATTCAAAATGCGTATTAATAATATTCTTTGAATTAAAAAATGTAATGGATTTAGGAAGTCTGCAAATTTAACTCCATAGATGGAAATAGCATGGGTCCCCTGGGGCACATCGCTAACTACATCCAGAGAGTCCAAGAAACCCAATGTGCCCCTATTTTCTGTCTGCTTTCTTTCGAGGATTGTCTATACCACTAAAAATTCTCATCAACACACTTGGGTGTCAGTTCAATTAAGTTAATCAAACACATCTATCATCCTGGATGAATATGTCTTCCTTGTTATGATCTCTAGAAGTTTGTATAACCAGGATAAGACTAATTGGCCTATAATTCCCTGCCTTATCCATTTCTCTTTTTTTTTGAACAATAATGTATTGTGTATTTAAACACTTCTAATTCACAGCTTGAAAGACTTGGAAAATTATGCTCAGTGCAAATGCTGTCTTATCTCTGACCTCCCTATGCATACCATGGGGAGAGGGGAGATGTCATTTTTCTACTTTTACAAGGATGTGCAAAGAATGACCCAACCAGGCCAGGCCAGTGTTTATATTCCCCACGAGCCTCCATGTATTACCTACTCCTTCCTATACACTTCTATTTTCCTCTCTCTCATGTGAAGGTCGAGTGAATGCATCTATCTGATTGAATCAGATTAAGAATATGAATTCCACAATCTTATCGCTATCTTATATTTGTGGCCCCAGGTTGCAGACTCTGCAACTAATGGGAACAGTCTATTTATGCTAAGTACTATACTTTTAAATCCTATCATTTCTGTCAGTAGCTTCTTGAAGATACTTTCACACCCTCCTCTCATCTAGAGTCCCACTTTCATCTTCCTTTGTATTGCCCCCTTTGGCTTGAAGCAGTCCTTCGGTAATAGTCTTTTAAGTATACATGTATAGCATGTTTTCTTTATCGCAATTTAGCTTTGCAGCGCAACAGCAGGCACTGCTCTTTGGTTAAGAACAAAAGGAATTCCTGGTTCCCTGCTTCCACACCAGTGTCATATACTGAGAATGACATGTCATTTGCTGTCTTTATCCTAAGCACTGGTTTCATTCACACACTTGCAGAGATTTTATGTAATATTCAGATGTCTGTGGAGGTGACTTACTCATGTTTAGAACAGGCTTCAATAAACAAAAAAGCAAACAATATTGTTTGATTTTTTTCAAGTGTTTTTACATTGAGAGGAATATTTTCTTTGATCTCCAATCTGATTTTTGTTACACTGAGGACATTGTTTTAGAGGAGTAAAGTTCCACTACATGTTAATACTACATTATTCTGATCAGTCATATACACCATTTGTGTTTTCCACTTGCAGTGAAATTCGGGAATGCTTGAAGCTGGACCCAGATCACAAACGATGTTTTGCGCACTATAAACTAGTAAAGAAACTTAACAAGCAACTGATGTCTGGAGAAGACTTCATTAGACAAGAAAAGTAAGAAAATCATTTGTTGGAATGCATTTTTGTGAATAATTGGGCTTCTTGGCATTGCAGTGCACATTCGTGAAGTAACCATTTTATTTATATATATATATATATATATGATTTTGGTAAATGTAACAACCACTATGTCTTATAGAGACGATGTATTATAGAATCGATGTTGATGTCCTGCTTTTTTCCCTCCTGAAACAGATACTCTGATGCTATCAGTAAATATGAAACTGCTATGAAAATTGAACCAGATGTTCCCCAGTTCACTATGTATGCAAAGGAAAGAATTTGCCATTGCTTATCCAAGGTAAGGAAGAATGCATATGGAGTCATTTTTTTAGGTTTGTTTGTAAATGAGTAGAAGTTTATAGCAACAGTGTACAATTACTTGCTAAATTCATAATTATTTCTAGCCTTGCCAAAGACCTTGCAAAAAGAATATGATTGCTCTTTATTTCAAAAGAAAACGTTTGCCAAATACATTGTAAAGAAGTTTTTTGGCAATATTGTGCTCTTCATGGAACTTTTCACTTTATCTGTTTAGAGCAAGCAAGCTAAAGAAGCCATCAACATCTGCACAGAACTATTGGAGAAGGATCCAAACAATTCAAATATATTACGAGATCGAGCAGAAGCATATATTTTAGAGGAACATTATGAAGAAGGTACTGGCCACTATTAGTATGTCACCCCGATTTAATTGCTTTGAACTCCTTTGAGATGTTTGGACAGTGGAGGAGTACAATCAGCATGTTGGATGTCCTGCCATTATTCCACACTTGTGATTCCATTCCCTATTTCAGATGTGCAAAACTCGTGTCAAATCGTCTTCTGGCATTTTCCGTCATAGTTGCAATAAGCCAATGAAAATCACTTTAAGAAAAATTCTAATCAAGATAGTGAAAACTGGAGGAAAGAACCAGAATAATCTCAGGTGGACTAAATTAGCACCACTCTCGCTTCCCTGAAGGTTGTGGATTCATACCCCACCTTCGGACTTTTAGCACAGTCAAGGCTATATCAAATAGGATTATTTGGAGTCCTGTAGCATAGCGATTAGGGCACTTGTCTCGCAAGTGAGAGGACCCAGGTTCGACTCCCGGGCAGGACAAAAGTTGGGTGAGTTTCCTTACTCGACATGCTTTTGTTTACCTAGCAATAAGTAGGAACCCAGTTGTTAGTCGATTGGTGGATGGCTTTCTGGGGATAATCCCTCAAAATATTTTTTAAAAAATAATTTGGTGACGATTGTTTGTGAGATACTGCTGTGTGCAATTGGCTGCCGCATGTCGTCCACAAAATACAGTCAATTCTGTGAAGCGCTTTAAGATGTCTCACCGATGTGATAAGGCGTTATATAAAATGCAAGGATTATTGTTTTTATAGAAAGGTAACTGAAACTTTTTAAAGTGGAAATATGTAGACAGGTTACAATTTTGTAAAAATGGAGAGAAAAGAAAAAATGCTGGTAACCAGGTAAATAGGTATATTTTTGTTTTCTATTTATTTGGAATTAATATAGTGTTACTGTGATTTCTGAGTAAATATTACTGTAACATTTGTATTTTTTTCAGTATTAAATGTACTATGTAGATTATGTAAGAGCAACGCAGCATGGAGATGGACCATTTGGCGCAGAGTCCTTTCCGATCTTTAAGGCGTATAAAGGTTGCAAAGATCCTTAAAAGCTAAATTCTCACACATTTCTTGTGGTTCTTGGAGAACACCCAAACTAGTTTGCAAAACTTAAGACGCAGTTGCTTTGTGTACAGGTTAGTCTTTGACTGGCTGAACTGGAATGAGTGTCTCTATTGAGAGCTCTGAACGTAACCAAATATGGGCAATAAAATGATACTGTTCTTTGTTTTGTACAGCGGTTAAAGACTATGAAAATGCACGAGATCACAATGATGATGACCAAGGCATAAAAGAAGGGTTGGAAAAGGCACAGAAACTTCTTAAACAATCACAGAAAAAAGATTATTACAAGATATTGGGAGTGAAGAGGTATTTACTGAATGTTATGTTGCTATCTGAAGACCTTGTATCTGGGTGAGACTAGAATTATTTTTAAATAACCCAATTTTAACTGGGGAAAAATAATCATTTCAGTTGCAACAAGAAGAGGTCTGATGGCTGATACACCTATCATTTCCACTGATTCTGTACAATCTATTTCTCCTGTTTAATCTTTACTGGGAAAGTTCTTCATAAAAGGTTGTTTATCTCAAAGTATACATGACGTGTTTTATCATTTAAACTCTGCTGTCTAACCTACAAATCGATTCAACAGATTATTTTGAAGGAGATAATTAACACTGCCTCAGCCACTTACAATGAAGGTCAATTCTGTAGCATCTTTGAGTGTGGGCAAAGAAAGGACTCTTTATTTGTTTTTTAACTTTAAATCTAAATCATTGCAGTTTAAAGTCCATTAATCTATGCCTAAATGCCAGCATTTTAAAGACGTAAAATGTCTTTGTCACGTTTTCTCCCAATTATTTCCACATGATTGTATTGTATTCCAAATGTAGTCTCACCGGTGATCTACAATAGCTTATTTAGTCTTATACTCTTGCCTTTAACATAATTTGTGCACCACTTCAGAGTTACTTAGAAAATCAGTGACTGATGAATAATTTTGCTAAATTAGCAAATTCCCACTAGCTCACTTAGAAAGTGTGAATTGCAATGCTCTTGCCAGTCACTGCTCTGTCCAGCAGAACTTTTCTGTTTATCATCACCATTTGCTTGCTGAGTCAGCTTTTAGTCTGCACTTCCAGCCACTACGCTCTGGAACACTTCCTCTATCCCTCCGCCTTGCCCCTTTCTTCCCTATATTCAGGCTGTGCCTGAAGACCTTCCTCTTCGACCATGCCTACGATCACCCACCCCCCGGCTCAGTTTCCTGCTCCACCACTGTCAAACGCTCTGGGACACTACCCTGCGTGAGGGGTGCTATATAAATGCAAGTTGTTGTTTTAGTCTTTTTAACTAAGTTGCTATTCATTCCATGAGCCTTGCCTTTCCTGACATATCTAAGAAAGAAGCTTCTCATTCTGAATTATATTCAGTGGAAGTGTTCATTCACTACTTTTAGCGTCTCCTTTAGATTCTAAAGAAATTCTAAATCATTGTGGTGTATCTTCAGTTCTGCATACATATTATGTCAAAATCCAAAGATAAAGAAATGTTCATTTGTGATATGTGTGGCTGTGTATGCAGTTCAATATTATATCAATAGGTAACTTATCTGCCTTTTTAGAACTGCCAAGAAACAGGAGATTATAAAAGCGTACAGGAAATTAGCAATGCAGTGGCATCCTGATAACTTCCAGGAAGAAAGGGAAAAGAAACAAGCGGAGAAAAAATTTATTGACATAGCATCTGCAAAAGAAGTGCTCACCGATCCAGGTATCTGGTAATCTCTTTTCCTCTGATTAAATGTCCTGTTAATATGACAATCCAGCCTCATGATACTTTGTTGCAGCCCTGTTTTTTGTGGTAATATTCCTTTATTCAGCATTCTCTAAACTACTTGGTTTTCTTCGGAGGTGGGAAAATGAAATACAGGATCTTTTAAGACAGTCATGTGCCCTTTAACTCAATTAACTCATTTTTACTTCTGTGTTCTTCAGCTTATTCATAGGTGTCATCCTGCTTCATAGCACTCGTCCTGAGTCAGAAGTTTGTGGGCTTAAGTCCCACATCAGGACTTTGAACTCATAGTGTAAGCAACACTCCAATGCAGTGCCAGGAGTGCTGCATTGTTGGAAGTGCCATTGTTTAGGAGACATCAAACCAAGGTCAGGTCTGCCTCTTCACAGGGACATTAAAACTCCCAATGGCATTGCTCAAAAAGAAAGGGAGCTTCTCTCAGTGTCCTGGCCGAGAAACCTCAAGAGAAAGATATTCACTTTATAGTCATGTGAAACATAACTATGCACAAATTGGCTGCCGCATTCACCTCCAGTCACTCCATTCCACAGTTTAAAAAAATTCTGTGAAACGCTTTGAGATATTTCAACAAAGATATATCCCATATTAAATGCAATGATTATTATAACAGGTTAGTTCAATCTGAATTTTTTTAAGTATTAATTTAAGAATGGTAGCATTTCCTGTTCTCTCTAGTGCAGTACAATCATGTCCCGATGTCATAATTTTAGTATACAAAAGGTTAAGTGGGGAGGCATTGTGCGTTCAAAATGCCCACCTCTTTTGAGCAGGATGTATGTCATTCATAATTACAGTAATGCGTTAACACTTCAGCTTCACAAAAAGCAGCCTGTTTTTTTGGTATGATGGTGATGTACTTTCATTCCAGTTCAAATGTTTGTTTCTTCCTTTTATCAATGTAGAGATGAGGAAGAAGTTTGATTCGGGGGAGGATCCTCTGGACCCAGAAAACCAGCAAGGAGGAGGAGGAGGGGGTGGCCAATTTCACAGATCTTGGAACCAATGGCAGGGATTTAATCCTTTTGGCTCAGGAGGACCTTTCAATTTTAAATTCCACTTTAACTAGGTCTGGGAGTATTGATGACTCACCTCAAAAAGAATTCATAAAAATAAGGATGTTGAATTTGATGCAAAAAACCAAGAGAGCTAAAGGTTTCCTATTGTAACTTTTGTTCAGCCAAAAATGTTCAGAATGTATTATTTTCAGATACAAAGGATGGTTCTTTGAAATATTTTCCTTAAATGTAATAAAATACAACCTAATAAAGCAACTTGCCTTATAAATCTTTGCATTCCCATTGAAAGCAATTTAATTCCCCAATAAATATTTTGATCTTTCTAGCTGATGTATATGTATAGTTTTTATTAAACTTTTCTTTAGTCCTTGGATAAATAAATGCCATGAAAGTGGCCTTATGAACTGTTGAGTGAGATTCACTGACTAGGTAACACGTAGTATTGTTGCTGTGGTGCATATTTGCATATCTGAATTCATTTTACACTGTTGACTGCTGTTTTAGCTCACAGTATTGTTTTATAAAGGTCTATTTCAGTTGTTGGCATGTACATGGAAAATTAAATCTAAATAATTATAATAATCCTTACATTTAATTTCGCACCTTATCACGTCTTCTAATTGTTTTGAAAGCAACATTCATTACCAATCAAAACATTGTTGATTGTTTTAATGCTGTGGAAAATTGTGGGTGTACTTTATGTTGCATAATGGTCCTTGGATATCTTGGAGCCCAAGTATTTCTCTAAAGTTTACAAAATCTTAATACTTTTGAAATGTTTGGAAGTCCAGAAACTTTTTAACAGTAGTTGAAGTGTTTATGATGCCAAACTATTCAGTTACTTTCCTTGACATAAAAAAATGCAGTATTTGTTACAAATGAGCACCTCAGAAGACTTAACAAAATGGTGCACAATTTATCATTTGTGGACAGCCCAGTAGAAAAATGATAATCTTAATGTCTGTAGAATTTAAGTTTGAAGCCCCAGACTGTTTGTCATTAGAATCTGCCAACTTCAGCCTCAATGTTGTGGATATTTACCTTTGAGGGAAATGTGTCCAACTCACCATACTAGACTTTGCGCAAGCTACAAATTTCACTGCGTCATAAGCAGAGGTTTTTGGTCGATATCGATAATTCACTTCCACCCCCTTTGGAAACTTTAAAAGCAATGCTGTGGTTATCTTTTTTCCCAGTAAATGATAGGAATGCATCTGCTTTACTGAAAGTACTCTAAAGAATCTTAACTCCAGCAATTGTTACTTATATGTATAATGCATTTGGAAATTGAGGGTGGATTTTTACAAATGCACATATTTGTAGAATGTAAGCAGAATTTGAAGCACATTCTATTGCTATAAGGTAGTTTTGATGTGCAAGGAGGGGCCTCTCGTTATCATTACCTCCAGGGCAATTACTGTGCTACTTCATTTTTATATGTATGCATTGTATCAAGAAAAGTGTCTAAGGGCAATTGGAACAGATTGTATGATTGAAATAGCAATTGTTGCAGTTGTTATGGCAATATGTTTGCTGTAAATCAAACTAACACCTTTCTTGCCTTCCTGTCTATTCACCCATTAGTGATGTGTTCCAGAAGGTTATTGGGACAATGAGCTTGATCTGTGTCCCTATTTTAACAAAACATGAGCTAAGACAACCATTTAAATTTAAGGACAAATGTTGGCATGTCATTTAAATTGGTGTATTCATTTAAAATACCTACTGCATAGATTTTACAGAAGAAAACAGTAATAGTATTGCTAGATTGTTTCTGACAACAATGTACAGTATGGATTGTGCAATAGCAAAGATTTTAAAAAAATGTTATCCTTTTGCAACTTTTCTGCCTCTGTTGTCCTTTATTCAGGTGGATGGGTATTTTGGGTTGAAAATTGGGAAAATATTTTTTCTTTCTCTTCCGTGGAAATGGGTAGCATTGTGATGTTGGAGGACTTCATCTATTGGTATGATCAAGAACCAACAAACCCTGTCTATATAGGCTTCTCAAATTCAATTAGAGTTAAATGTGAGATTTAATCCAGGAGAGTTAACAGTATTGCTAGAACTAATTTGGCCATCTGCCTAATCCATAGCATTTTACCTTATCCATCATATATTTACTAAACGTTTAACTTGAAGATACTTTTAATTTGGTTTTGCGTTATGTGTTACATTTTTTGGGGCGAGAGGTAAAATCTCACATTGTGAAATTAGTTTCAAAAAAAGGAATATTTGTCTTCAATGGGAATTTGGATATACTGACAATTTTACTTACAGCAAAGATCAATTAGTGTTGTACACAAGACTCCAAATATTTTGTATTGCTGCAGAAAAAAACAGTTCAGTTTGAATGCAGGTGGGGAATATGAACCAGTAGACTTACAGTACAACTATCCCACATGATTTTGCACTTTTGTTCTGAAATGTAATTTTGCTATTTGTATTTGCACCTGGTGTTCTGAAGTTTGGGCAGTATTTTTATATGATGTCCATTCAGCACAATTGTAAATAAAGATGTATATCAATTATGATGAATTTGTTCAGAAACTGATTTTCCAAGTTCCAGGCTTAGAATTTAGGTAAATATAATTCATTAGAAAATAAGTGGAAAAACCACAATTGTTAGCTAAAATAATTCACACACCATATACAGGCCTTATAGCACACGTACGTTCTTCCGTGTAGTGTGTACTCATAGTCCCCAATGTAGCTGATCAAATGGAATTTTCTTACATCTGGTCCATTTATTAGAACATTTCAGTGATTTTGCATAATATTAAGCCTTTCAACAATCATCTATCAAAATTATACTGGAATTGCAATTTCCTTCCAAATTCCACTTAACCAAACAAATGGAGATTTAAAAAAAGCTTGCTTTGTAACAGCAGCCATCCATGGAATTTGGCAGAGTTGGTCCTAACCAATACATGATCATAGAGCCTGGTTTCCCAGAATTAACTAATCCATCAATATTCATTTAAAACATTTTTTGGATATATTCCAACTGCTTTCTCTTTCCCTCCAAAAATAATTTGGTCACTCAATCCACGACTGTTTGCAGGATACTGCTTTGTGTAATTGGCTGCCACGTTTTGCCCACAAAATATAGTAAATTCAGTTTACAGTATATTCTGTGAAGTACTCTTGAGACATCTCAGACATGATAAGGCACTATATCAAATGCAAGGTTTATAATTATATGCTGGGTCCACTTTTCTGCCTTGAAATAGCAATCTGCGAAACAGTGGTATTTTGCACAACCCACAGTGATAGATGTGTGTTCTGCAACAAAGATTTTCTCCACAGCCAGTCTGATGGCGGGTAGCCCATTTTAGGCTGACGTATTTCCTGCTAATCTTGGAAAAGTCAGTCAGAACCATCTGAGCACTGACTACTCAGAACAGATAATCCTGGAAATAACTGCTAGAGTACTGTTTAAAAGATACTGGAAATCCAATTACAACAATGTGGAGGTGTTTAGTTTATTCAATGAATGCGCAATGGCCCTTTCCAATTTGTTTTCACACAATTGCTTTGGCAATTTTTAAATAAAATCTCATGGTATTTTCTCAACTCAACATCCATTTCATGAAAACACTATAAAAAAAAGTGCAAATTTAAGATATTTAAAGCAGCTCCGCAAGAGTTCTAGCTGTTTAATGCCGAAACGACTTGAGTTTCGGCTTTAACTTTAAATAGCTGCACTTAATTGTCCACATTTGACATTTTATTAAAAATTGTAAAAGCAATTGTATGGGGGAAAAATAGATAAGAGAAAGCTATTAGGTAGAAGTAGATCATTGCCAATTATATTTTGAGATGTAGAATGGACACATCCAGACATAAATCTTTAATACTTTCATGTTAATGAATTAAGCACTGGCGTACCTTTAAACTGGTCATTCCTTTTCCTAAAAATTAAGGAAAGGGCGTCAATTCAAAACGGATCTGCACCTGACTATTGCATTTTAACTTTAATTGCAATTTAAACTTGTTTAAATAAAAGGAGTTTTAAAATGGTTATTAAATTCTAAGGATCTTAGTTTGCTATCAGGTTTCAATAATAGCTGTAAAAAAGCAAGCAATTTATACACTGCAAATACTTGAAAGGCAATTTCACTTTTAACATTGAAAATTTTTTTTTGTGGTGTTTTTAAACTATTCTCTCCAACCACAGCTTTGCTTAAATGAGTGTAAAACCTTTGATTTCCTCGTATCAGTAGTGAGATATTACACTGATACCAAATTTCTCTATTTTTAGACGAAAATACTTAAACCTGCCACCAGTGATATTATTACAGGTTAAAGTAGGCTTCAAGCATCTGATTCAACTCTCACTGCTTTTCCACATTTGATGCTAGAATAATTGAACACTGAATAAAAAAGGTTTACACATCTGCATTGACTGACATGGTAGAACTTGTTTGTAATGCGATAACTTCAATTAGGCATTCCAAAAAATTATGGATAACTTTCAAAGAGAAAAACTGGCACACATTTACCTCTAAATGTTTCCTTGAGATGAGAACAGGCATTCTAAACGTGGGGAAAGTGATATAATATTTCAAAAGCATTATAGAACTGAAGGAGAGTTAGCATTTGGAATAGAAAGCTCCCATGGAGTTCACACCAAGCACTTTTCGTTTAGGTGCATTTGATCTGTAAGCTAGATCATAAATGATCATAGAGCATTTGATTTAGCTCCTTTCACATTGAGACATCTCAAAACGCTTCACAGGATATATTGTGAAGTGGATTGAGCGAAATCCGGCAGCCAGTAGCACACTGCAATGCCCCACAAACAACCATGGTGGGAGTTACCTATTTTATTTGGGGAATTGTTGGTCAGGACACTATCACTGATAATGAAAACCCCCCTTTCCTGCACTGCATTGGAGAGTCAGCTTTAACTGTGTGATTATAAGTCTTGATGTGGGATAAGGCTGTTGTACTACATTTGTGTTCTGTAAAATTTATAGTAGTGAATCCAACAGAGTTTTGATTTCAACAGTAGAAAAAGGAAGTGTAGGAACTTGTATTTGGAGGAACAGGAGAGCAAGATTAGAATCGTCCTGACATAAAGAGACAGATGAGAAAGGGGAAATAAAAAAAAAATCCACCAGAGGAAACCATCTGTGTGAAATGAATCGTAGGTCCATCAAGCCATACCAATTTGATTTAATTAACAATACATACACATAAGTACTAATGTACTTGAGGTGAATATTTTGGCAGAGGACTTGTATTTCTGACAGTTATCAGTGGGTGCTCTCACCCAAGGTTCCAGTTTAATTCATTCTTCTACAAAAAAACACTCCTGAGGTTTATGAATATAACACAGTTATTAAAAGAGAAAGAACAACAACCCCCACCCTCCCCACTCACCACAAAATTAGCGTCCTAACTCATTTGGTTACATGACTCAGTGGAAGAAGGCATTCTATGTGTAACCTGCAGTGAATAAAAGGTGGTGGTACTGGACTCTTAAAATTGTGTATGTTAAATTTACACTGATGCAGGTCAGTGTTCCCATTATAGATTCAAACAGTTTCACAAAATCACCAGATTGGTTTGGCTGAAAAAGACACTTCGGTCCATATCCTTCCAGAATACTCACTCAATCATCTTCCCGTCATGGCACCAAGCTTTTCTTTTTAAAATGAGGCCAGTAGCTGAACCAACCTCCTGGTAATCCATTCTAGCTGTTAATTATAAAACTATCTCCATGAAATATCAAATTCCACATGTGGGATAGAACAACTTTTTAACAAATTGAAACATGCAACATTCAAATCTAGTAACAGGCTGTATATATTTTTTTGGTCAGCCAGGTGTCTGACACATGCAGAAACCCAACACGGTGCTTAAGAGTATCCAAACCAGAAAGTTGCACATATGCATGTCACATGGGCATGGAAATTTCCCTGTGTTTAGAATGGATTATCCAATCTCTCCTCTCCTCAGATGAATGCACCATCGTTACCTATTCTGGAATGTATTAGGTGTGGAAAAAAGGCAGAAACCAAGTCTTGGAGACCCTAGATATGTGTTGAGGTACTGCTGATGTTTAAGGAGCCAAAATGCATTGCTTGCCATTGCAAGTACAGTCTGGTAAGCTTTTTGCTGTTTGTCCAGGCAGGACCACCTTATCTGTTGCTGCTTTGGCTTTCAGGGTTAATAGGAGCTGAGTGGGAAGAATTCCTCCGAATGTTACTGTCAAGCCTAACTAGCTGATTTATCATCAGGTTTATATGAAATTTCTTTGAAAAAAAAGTTAATAAGAGTATGCTGGGAACTTTTTTTAAATACTGTATGTAATTATCAATTAAACCAATACAATCTGAACAGTTCACTTTAAGCTTTGATTTCAAAACACACATTAAAATAAACAAAATGTGTAAGCATAACATTAAAAAATGTGAATCACCTGTTTATCAACAAAGAAACAAAAACCTACATTATACTTATTCAATGTTGAGAAAATTGAAAACTTATAAGAGAAAACATGTCTTATTTTCTGTTTTGTCCCTCTTTATCCATTATCAGAATTTCAAGCAACTTGTATTGGGTCAGAGGGAAGAGTTGTCCTGGGCACATAGAGCATGAGCTGTTACTGCCAGACTATTAAAGGAATTAAACTAAATGGATTTGATGAAATTACCGACTGCAACTGTAACTCCAAAGAGATTTATTAGTACCAAAGAAACCCTGTGATCAAATCACAAGCATGAACATATGGCTCCATATTTATTGCTTTCTATAAACCTTAGTTTTGGATTCCAACTTCAGACCTCAATCTTAGTTGGGCTGCCCTAATGTAACTTTTTGTTTCCTCCTCAGTCAGACTTATGAACTTGAGTGACGTTATCTATTCAGTACCAAATTAGTTATTTTTGTGAATTTCAAACCTTTAGGAACTTGAATGAAAGTGCGTATCTTAATTTCACTTAATATCCTCACAGCCATCTGATAGACTGATGGGATAAAAATCCTAAATTTAATTCAAATCCAGAACCCAAAGACGAATGGCAAATGTGCTGTTAAAGTGCACTCGGTGCCTGATGCCCCATCCTCATCAGAGTCTTGCCACATAGGAGGCAAGCCCAATACCCTCTCCACCACGGAGAATGTCTTTATGAGGAAGATCTTATGGAGTTTGGAAAAAACTCCCCCCACTGATCGCCAATATATTAACTCTGTAGACCAGTTTTGTGCAAATTTACTTTGCTAAAATACATTACATAATGTTGCTGTAACTACAGTATGAACCCCCAACCCATGGTCAAATCCCTAAATATTTAAATTAAAAATGGAAAGCAATATAATCCAGAAATGAGAGCTCCAGTTTACTAATTGGCAAAATGATAAATTTAATGTAAGATTTTATGTTTTGGCAATTAGTAACAAACACTCCAGAAGATTATGAATAATGTATGCAATAGCCAAGGTTAATGAATACCTGAGATCAACACAACATGATTTACTGTATATTAATCTTTACTACAAGGTAACAGTGGTACAGTTTATTTTATTAGCAGCACCATATGACTGCCCAGAAACATTAGCCAGAAATGTGTACTGTGAATTTTGCTTTTCAAACTACAGATGCAAAGGGAATCGCTGTATCCTAACCATTTAACTTCAACCATTTATGTGCAAGCCACTGAATTAAATTAAGGGCAACAACTCAATAACACTGTTCAACCATACAGAGGATTTCAAGAAGTGGCATCTTATAAGGGCCAAAGTTGAAAGCAACTCATAATATTTCACATCATAAGCCACTTTTAAATATTTTACTGCTAGAAAAATGCCATTAAATACCAGCCATATCTTGGTGACATTAAAAAGCGATGGAAGAAAATCTTGTCACTCTCTGATAACTAGGATTGATTCCCATCAGTGTGTATAAGGTACCAGTTTGTGCACTTAAGTATGTAAATCTTAACCAAGTTTATAATACTGATAATAACTACTTGCTGGGAAAAGTGCNAAAAATATCTGCTTCCAGCACATTATTACAGCACATTAATTTACACCAATGTAGATATCCTGGCAAGAATTTACTTTCAATTCAAATTTGCACTCACTATACCTGACCATTCAGTGTTCTGTTGTCCATATTGAATAATAAATGAGCTCTTAACTTGAAAGGGGAATTGCAGTGCATACCCCAATATCCATGTACATTAGTGTTGTTCAAACAATAGTGCCATACAAATCTGTATAAAACTGTACAGCTTTGTACATAACAACATTTTCAAGTTCTATAGATATAGAAAGTTGCAAGTCTTGTGGTTTCTCTCCAGATTTAGTTGTTATTCATAAAATTTCCAATGAAAGAATAATAATCCCATAGATGCTAAAGTTCATCACGCTTGGGAGCTGGAAAATAAATACAAATTTTATTACATTGTTTTCTTCAAAACTGAATAATATAATATTTGAAAATTGGAATTATAAAACAACATTTGTTCACAGGTATAATAATTTGCTTTTATGACACTTAATAAAGCTCTCTCTTTGCAATTACTACTTTTATATTTAAACATTGTTTGTAATGATCATACTTCAGTTTTATTTCCATGCTTTATCGAAGCCCAAAATTCATCAGACTTAAAATTAGACAACATTAAATTTTAATAAAGTTGTGCTTAATAACATAATAAATTGTTCCACTAATGGGGCTTATAGTTTAAGAATTACTCAGAAAAGACTTTCAAATGAACAATGTGCATATAGTGTATAAAGCAGATTTTTTCCCAAAATGTGTTAATATGTTTAGAGAAAGGAATACACTTTACTGTTTCATTAAAATTTAACTTGTGGTAAAGTAATCCGTATAAATGTAGTGGCACGACTTTTCCCAGTTGACCCTGTTTTACAGTCGCAGAAAAAACCCAAGATGCTTTGGCTTATGAATGGATACAGACAAATTAGACATCAAAGCTTGAGGTCTAATTTGCGAAATTTCTTAACAGATTCCTCAGTAAGGAATCCTATTTGAATTCTCATTGCGTTGCAGAAACTCCACTCTGGAAATAGGTCACATCCTATTTCCCTTGAAAGTAAAGTTCTCTTGGATCAGCATTACATCTGGGTTGTTAGGTAAGAGTCACCATTGGTGAGATTCAGATTCCCTAAGGAATCCCATTGAAAAATACCATCAATTAGACTCCAGTATTTAATGGCTCCCTTATTAATTGCATTTGGATGAAAGTATTTAAGCTAGAATTAGATATTCAATTTAAAAATATCTGAAAATGAGTAAAGCTTTATTAACCCACATTGTACAGCAGGATGGCAATCACACTGTATTGATATTTGTTGATTTTTATTTTAAAGAAGAATCCTGAATCTTATGATCTTACCTGGAGGCTTTGTTTTCGGAGTGGCAATCTTTTTCTGTTCTTCGATTTGTTTTAGGAAGTGCTTTATTTCATGATCATATTCTGCCCACTCAGGCACAATACGCAAAGCAGCCTCCAGTTTTGGTTCTTTGGTCTTGGGATTGTTGCACTAAAATAATGTGAAATGGAACTGTTTTTCCCCATACCATATTTAAAGTTGCAAAATAAACAATACACAGTTTAACAGAACACAATCTGTTCTCTCTTAAAATACTTCTTATTGAAGTCATTTTTTCTTCCTAATCCTTTCCTTCAGACTCCCATTACTAGACCATGATAGAGTGCAGACAACAAGTTCTTTGTCACCTGCTCTAGAATTAGGCCTTTGTGGGGGTTCCTGACAGTGGCACCAGGGTTACTCTACACAAACACTTCCTTCTACATTTCGAAATCGTTCAAAAACATTTTGAAAACGAGCACTGGCAGCATCTCCATCCATGGATGCCCACCCATCTCATTGAGCCACTCTGGATCCTTGACGTCTTGTTTGACCCTCAACAGTCCTTTCCACCCCACATCCGTGCCATGACCCGCTCTGCCTTCCCCCGCCTCTGCAATATCGCTCGGCTCCACCACTGAATCGCACCGCAGGCCGTCAAAAATCTCATTCACGCATTTATTACATCTAGGGAGGACTACATCAACTCCCTGCTTGTTAGCCTTTCACTCCACTGACTGCAGATCATCCAGAAATCTGCAGCTTGTGTCCTCTCCCGTACCAGGCTCCGTGACTCTTCTCCCTCACCCTCAACCGGCTGCACTGTCTCCCCATCCCCCAGAGGATAGACTTCAAAATCCTCATCCTTGCCTTCAAGGCCCTCCATGGCCTTGCTTCTTCCTACCTCTGTGACCTGCTAACCCTATATCAACCTGTCTGCTCCCTTCGCTCAGCAAGCTCCGGCCTGCTCCATGTCCCCCGCCTGGCCCACCCCACCATCGGTGGTTGGGCCTTCAGTTTCTCTTCCTCCGCCCTTTGAAACATCATCCTAAAGTCCCTTCACCTTGCTCCCTCCCTTGCCTTCTTCAAATCACATCGCAAGAACCTCCTCTTCGAACGCACATTCGACCAACCTCCTACCCCTACCTGTCCTCCACACCCCCAATCCCAACCCCCTGCTTGGGTCCAAATCACTGACTGTCCAGTGCCTTGGGACATCCTCCCATGTGAAAGGCGCTATATAAATGTAATTTGTTGTTGTTATTTCTATTACTCTAAAAGAGAAGGCAGTTTCTCCCAGTGTTCTGGTCAACAATCCCTCAAATAAAGTTGGTCATTCACTTCATGGCTGTCTGTGACATGGCTGTGCGGAATTTGGCTGCTGCATTCACCCACAAAATACACAGTCACTACACTTTACAGTATATTATTACATTTCGGTTCTTCTGATCCAACTTTGCTCTTCCCTTAAGGGGAAAACTATATTGCAGGCAAAGCCATATCCTATCACTCCATGCTTGATGGAAGAGCATATCACTGCCCCCAATACAAATCCTTAGTTAAAGCAATCACGTTCCTTCACAATTGGCACAATGTCCAGTCTTCCTTATTCTTTGTCCCTGTAGTTGGTCAGCCCCATGTTTCTACCATCTGAATTAGATAAACTTTTTCTCCTTTCCTTTCATTCAAAGTTGTCTAGATTAATGTTCATGTGTATAGGAAAATGTTCTTCTAGTACTTTCAGTGAGGTTTACATTGAAGCGGGGAGGTGGATGTGGCCATAGGCACATTTGAAGAGGTAGGTAAAGAGAGTGCAAGGCAGAGGGATTGAGGCTGGGAGTTTAAAGAGAGGTGTAGGGAAGTCTGCTTTTAATAAAATTGCTCCTTCACTTCATGACTGTTTGTGGGACATTGCTGGGTGCAAATTGACTGTCACATTCGCCCACAAAACACAGTCACTCCTTTTTACAGTATATCTTGTGAAATGCTTTGGGACGTGCTCTTGATGTGAAAGACGTTTTATCAAATGTAAGGATTATTATATTTATAATAAATCAGTTAGCGATTTATAGAGCTAAGTATTCTGTCCAAATGGAATAAAACATTCATCTGCCCGGCAATTGTTTCCTATGGAAACAAATCTTGAATCAAAACCCATTTCTAAGCAGAAGTCAGTTATTTAGACTGCAGACTTCACCTCCTGTCACTTCAATGATCAAACAGGAGAAGCACAGCAAACATAATATCTTCCACGGCATTCTCCTGAGGATTGCTGCCACATGTCTGCAGGATCTGGTCTTTCAGACAATTATTGGACAGCAAATAAGAACCAGTCTCAACAAAACAGTCATACATTAAGTATGCTGCAGTCCTAAGAGATTCATACACACAATACGATTTAGGCTAAGATGGCCAAAATCTTAATTCCTTTGGGAAATTAGTAATTTGTTCCCCCGAGTTGCAGCATTCTGGGTTGCAATTGTTGCAGTGTTCTGAAGCTGCAACATTTTGAGAGTTATTAGAAGTGATTAAAAGCTAATTATTATATGTACCTGGCAAGTATATTTAATTAAGTACTTTTAAACATTAGTGAGATATTTTAAAGAATAAAGATTGAAGACTGCAAAGATGGCCGCAGACATGACCACAGAGTGAATAAGTTCCTGAAAGTGAAGGCAAAACAATCTTCTTATCCCAGCTATCTTGATCATGTATGTTTATCAGGCTACCAACTGAGCCAGGCAGCCAAGCTGATACAAAACCAGATTAATACAATACAAATTTACAGTTATTTTGCATCTTTCACGTCAAGAGGATGTCCCAAAGCACTGGGCAGTCTGACGTTTTCACTTGAGCTGGGAATGAGGGCGAAGGGGGTGGGAGGAGAGGAAGGAAAGACAGCCAAAAGCACAGGAAGGTCTTGAGGCAGATCTTGAAGGAGGCGAAGGAAGGGGTGAGTCAAAAGGACTCTGGAAGCTTCAGACAGCGAGGGCAGAGAAGCTAAAAGCTCCACTGTCGATGGGGCAGCAGGCAGGATAAGGGATGTGAAGCAGCAAAGTGCTCACTGAGTGGAACAAGTAGGTGGGTTGGTAGGGTTTGAGGAGGTCTCAGAGCTATGGTGGGGCAATACCATGGAGGGGTTGAAAGATTAGAGTGAGAATCTTGAACTCGATCCCCTGAGATGGGAATCCAGTGGAGCAAGGCGCGGATAGGCATGACAGGCTCACACAGTCTAGATTGGGAAAGGACACGAACTGCAGAATTCTGTAGAGTTTGCAGCTTGTGAAGGGAAGAAACAGGTAATCAGCTGAGCAGAGTTTGTGTAATCTAGCCCGGAAGTGACGAAAGCAAGGATTAGGGTTTTGCTGGCTCAAGGGGAGAGGTAGTAGTGGAGATGGCCAACACTACTGAGGTGGGGAAAGCTGAGCGGATCAGAGCACGAATGTAAGGTTTAAAGGACAGTTGAGGATCGAACAAGATCCTGAGGTTCCGCACAGGCTTCACAAAGCTGAGTGTGCATCCAAGTAGTTTGATGTCATAAACACCTGTGTTGAGAAGGCGCTGGCAGGAGAGACTTGTTGATTTCAACTAAAAAAAGTTAGCTCTCATCAAAGACTTTATGTCAAAGAGACAATCAGTCATGACAGCAGTGGTCCTGGAATCAAGGATGGAGGCAGAGAGATAGAGTTGGGTGTCATTCGCATACTTTGTGGAGTATGCGAATGATACCCAACTCTGTGGAGTCCTGTAGCTCAGTGGTTGGAGCACTCGCTTTGCAAGCGAGAGACCTGAGTTCAGTTCCAGGCAGGGCGAAACCTTGGGCAAGTTTCCTTACTCCACACGCCTAATAATAATCCCTCCAAAACCAAAAACAATAATAAATTGGTCATTTTCAATCCACGACTGTTTGTGGGACATTGTTGTGCGCAATTGGCTGCCGCGTTCGCCCACAAATATACAGTCAATTCACTTTGCAGTGTGTTCTGTGCAGCGCTTTGGGACGTCCTCCCAACGTGAAAAGCGCTACATCAAATGCAAGGATTATTATTATTATTATTATACTTGAAGTTAACCCCATGTCTGTGGATGACATCACTGAGTAGGAGCGTGTAGATTAAAAAAACTTTGCAGAATAAGTGAGTATGAATTGCAAAGGAGAGGAAACTGAAGTCTTAATTTACAGCAGCACTGGCAGGAATAATAATCCTTGCATTTGATATAGCATTTTTCATGTCGTCTTCTAGACGTCTCTAAAGCTCTTCACAGCATATACCATAAAGTGAAATGGGAATGAAAGTGAAGTGGATCACAGAACATCAACAATAACATTTGACAGCATTGAGTAGCAGGCAGTTGTAGCTTCTGTACAAAAGCCCAATAGTCTGTTATTGCTCAACGGATATTTGACTTTCAACTAACTCCAGAATCCAACTTGTTCCCAAAACGGGCTGCCCTGCTCCAAATGACAAATATTTTTTCTCCATTTCCTCTCACTATAGAATGAAAATGCAGATTCACCCACCCCCTTGCTGTTCCATGTAAGAACAATTCTTCCATCAGAGAGAATCCAGGAGGCAGTACATGAGTGACATTTCCTTAGCAGCTAGATGCCAGTTCATCATTTAGGCTGTTGCTCTAAAAGTGCACTAAGACTCTAGGTTATAGTAAATGCCAGAGGCCGACCAGAGGTTAGGATTTTCACTTAGTTTTCAGGAGAACCGTGTTAATGCCACATTAAAAAAAACTCAAGACTATATGATGCAGGAATTTGTTTTGTTATATTGGGACATACAAGTTCATTACATATGCAAACCCAAAGCTTGGAAAATTCCTTTACAACTTTTGTGAATGACTCATTTTGAATCTAGGAGTTTGGGGAGAAGAGAATAAATGTGTTGCCAATTCTATGACAGATCTTAAGACATTTCACCACTAAATTGTTACACATCCTATTACACGGATGCTTTTTTTAATAAATTAAAAAATATTCTCTTGCAGGTTTAGAAATGTTGGGGTCAAAATTGTATGATAAATCTGGTATCTTAAAGCTTTTAACTGGGGATATAAATGCGTGAGAGCGGTGAAAATGTATTCAGGAAAATTAGATGCAATTTATTTTTTGAAAGAAAAGGATGAAAACATTTCTAGAATCCACTACCTTCAATGAATTTCCACAGTGCGCTTTGAGTGGATATGTTTATCGCACTGAAAAAGTACAGCTAGGGAAAATACATCTGCAGAACCATTAGGCTACATTTTCACATGCCAGAAACCCAGAGCTGAGCTGATACAGTGACAGATAGGAAATAGCAGAAATGCATTTTAACTGTCAAGATTAAGACTCCCACTCAGTATCTTTAAAACACTTTGAAATGCGATTAGTTATTGTTCTCTCAACATGAAAGGTGCTATACAAATGTAAATTGGTAGCACGCCAGAACCTGTTATTCCACCTAACACCCAATGTGATGAATGGGTTGTAGTTGTTCACAACCAGTGTCAACTTTTTTAGCCGGGTGTTTGACACATGGGGAAACCCATCACCATGCTTGAGAATATCCAAACCAAGCTGTGATTTCCCAGCATCATTGGCTTCTGGCTCCACCAGCTGTATCCCAGGAGTGCTTCAGTGCCTTGAATCTCAGTCACACTAAATTCTGAGCCTTAATACTTGGAACATGATCCAAACAGCTGCAAGCCACTTGAGGAGAATACCTTCCAATGCATTGAATCAAAGTTGAAAGCATCTATCTCAACGTGGATTAAATGAACCGTTTTTCTCCCCATCAGTGGACATGCAGCTTCTTTAAGTCAACAATCCCTCTCTTTGCACTTTTATTTTGATGGAAGAGTGGTCCTCCCAGAGGTTGTTCAATTTGTCCCAATACCCCGCAGAGCAAGGCTGATTTAGCCAGTCTGCTTTTCCCCAAAGCTAAGTATCAACAGCAACAAGATTACATTTGTATAGCGCCTTTCACGTTGGGAGGACGTCCCAAGGCGCTGGACAGAGTACAGCATTTCAGACCCGAGCTGGGGTTGGGGGAGTAAGGAAGGGGAGGGGAATGGGGGTGGACGATGGCATGGTCGAAGAGGAGGGTCTTGAGGTGGGACTTGAAGGATGCTAAGGAGGGGGCGAGGCGGAGTGATTGGGGGATGGAGTTTCAGAGGTTGGGGACAGAGTGGCTGAAGGCTCTCCCGCCAATGGTGGGGCGGATGGGTCGGGGGATGTGGAGCAGGCCAGCGACGGCTGAGTTGAGGGAACGGGCGGGTTGGTAGGAGGTCGCAGAGGTAGGGTGAGGCCATGGAGGGCTTTGTATGTGAGGACCAGGATCTTGAACTGGATCCTCTGAAGGATATGGAGCCAGTGGAGTCAGGCGAGAGTGGGGTCACAGAGTTTGGTGTGGGAGAGGACACGGGCTGCAGAGTTTTGGATTATGTACAGCCTGTGGAGGCAGGAGTTGGGAAGGCTGACAAGCAGGGCATTTGTATAGTCGAGCCTGGAGGTGATGAAGGCATGAACAAGAGTTTCAGCGGCCTGAGGGGTGAGGTAGTGGCGGAGTTACGGAGGTGAGGGAAGGCAGAGTGGGTCATGGCTTGGATGTGGGGAAGAAAAAAAACAGTTGAGGGTCGAACAAGACACCTCGGTTGGTGAATTGACGTGTGCAACCATGGAGGTTGATGCTGCCAGAGCCTGAGGTGCTGAGGCACTGGCGCGAGCCAATCAGGAGAACCTCAGTCTTGTTCACATTCAACTAGAGGAAATTTGCCTTCATCCAGGACTTGATGTCCGACAGGCAGTCTGTCAGGACAGCAGTGGTCCTGGAGTCGAGGGTGGAGGCAGAAAGATAAGAGTTGGGTGTCATCCGCATACATGTGGAAGTTGACCCCATGTCTGCGGATGATGTCACCAAGGGGGAGCGTGTAGATATTAAAGCGGAGAGGGCCAAGGACAGAGCCCTGGGGGATGCCAGATGTGACAGTGCGGGGGCTGGAGGAGAAACCGTTAGAAGCAACGAAGTGGAGACGGTGAGAGAGATAGGAATCGAACCAGGCAACAACAGGTCCGCGAAGATTGAGTAAAGCAGAGAGGTGGTGTATGAGGATGGAGTGGTCGACAGTATTGAAGGCGGCAGAGAGGTCAAGGAGGCAGAGGGAGCCCTGATCACAGCTGTTCAGAATGTCATTAGTGACTTTGACCAGGGCTGTTTCCGTGCTATGGGCAGCGTGGAAACCGGATTGGAGGGGTTCAAAGAGGGAATGGCGAGAAACAACAAGATTCCATTTATAGAGCGCCTTTCACGTCGGGAGGACGTCCCAAGGCGCTGTACAGTTGGGTCAGGACCCGAGCAGAGGGGAAATGGTCAGGGTGAGGGAAGGGAGGGAGCGAGGAGCGGGTAGAGTCGAGAGGGGAGCTGAAGGCACGATCAAAGAGAAGGGTCTTGAGACCGGCCTTGAAGGAGGAAAGGGAGGAGGCAAGGCAAAGGCACGGGGGATGGAGTTCCAGAGCCTAGGGGCTGAGAGGCTGAAGGCCCGGCCACCGATGGTAGGGCAGTTGGGGCGGGGGATGTGGAGCAGACCGGAGCCAGAGGAACGGAGGGTACGTAGGGGGATAGTAGGTCAGAGAGGTAGGAGGGAGCAAGGCCGTGAATGGCCTTGTAGGTGAGGATGAGGATCTTGAATTCGAAACGAGAAAGGAGCGGAGCTGGGATGCGACGACTATCAATAGTATCAATGGGTATCTGAGTAGATTAATTATATGATGACTTAGCAGGCCCTCAGAAACTTACACTGATTAGCTCTCAAAGCTGCTACTTTTTGTGCAATGCATTCCATATATGGAATTCAGCACTGCACACACGAACACACCGATAAATGTCTACACTCTGTTCTCACCATGACGACACCACAATTTTAACCCTCAACAATTTACAATTTCACTCAAACCTCTCTGCCATACACACAAATAGTACAAGAGACCGTTAAGGATCTTAAAAAGCAAAACAAAATGACACCAAATTTACATTTATATGGTGCCTTTCATGTCAGGAGTATGTCCCAAGGTGATGGCCAGTCGAGGGTTTTGTACCTGAGCTGGGGTGGGGACTGGGGGGAAGGGTTGGGCGAAAGGGGGAGAAAAGTGTTATACTAGAAATAGCATTCAATATTATTCAGCAGGAATGCTAACCACTATTAATTTTAGCTGGTATTTGATATCTAAAAGTTTAAGTGGGAGATCTGCAAAGCTTTATCTTTGAGACATATTTAACAGCAAATCATGCCATAACATTTCATGGTACAGCATATTATAACAAGATAACAACAACAACAAGATTACATTTGTATAGCGCCTTTCATGTCGAGAGGACGTCCCAAGGCGCTGATTCCATGCATGATAAGCATGCATCATGTCTCACCAACCTCCTCTTTATTACTTAACTCTCTTCAGCTCCAGGGCTGTTATTTCAATCTCATTATACTCATTAATGAAGTTCACTAAAAAAACGTTGCATTCATTTCCACTTTCCTATACATCAACTGGATTTCAATGCAGATATACAGAATTGGTTTGAATAATCAAAGAATTCTTGCACCATCATGCCCACACTTACCTCTGAGAATCCTGGCTGAAAGCTTTGAGTGGGAAATAGCCTTTTTTTGCAACTTTCTTCCAGATCAGTTATTATCCAAACTGATAGGGAGCACAGTCTTTGTAACCTCACTGCTATTTGCAACTGGTTTACCTTACATTTGAAAAATACAGTTCTTTTATGTGAGTTTTAGACTGCTCAGCGCCTTGGGACATCCTCCTGTCGTGAAAGGTGCTTTACAAATGTAATTTTGTTGTTGTTGAATAACATGGTGGATAGTGCACCTGAAGCCCAAATAAACTGCACTGTTGTTGAATGTCAGTTTTAATCTGTACTCTACACAGTGAGTCATTGAGTTTAGCCACACAATCGTGGGGAGGCACCAAGCGGTAATTGCAGAGAAGAAATGGAAGGCGGAATCACCAAGCTTGTTTCAGCACATCTTTTGTAAGCTGCTTACATAATGTCATTGGTACTGGTTAGCTGCTCTGACGTTTTGGCTAGGATGTGAAGATGAGCAAACTGTGAGGAGGTGGAGGAGGAAAAGAGGTGAAACTACTTTGACGATATGGGATATATACACGCTATATTTGTGAATAAAATACTTGTGAATAAAAAATACATACTTCAATAAGAATGCAACAAATTAGGATAGAATTCTCCAAATTCTAAATTCCTGCTCATTATTTTTACTTTGATTGGTGCAGTTTGTATACCACCAAAAATATAAAACCACCAGGGATTTAGTTACAACATCCACAGCACTCAAAATACTAATGGCCTAATTAGATCGCTTGTCGAATTGACTGAAAGTCCCATACAGATTTTGCAAGTAACTGGATCAACAGCAGTTAAGTGGTACCTACCTCAAAAAGCATCTTACTAAACAAGGATCATTTTGCCTGTTATCAAATTATATTAAACACCTGTACTGTTGCAATCTGCATTGTACTGATTTAACAGCCAACAGCTTCAAACCACAACTGAATGAAAATGAAACCAAGTTGAAACCATTTTTTTTCATATTCAGTTTTGTGCAAGCTTTTGTCCTGCTGTTTCTTTCTAAGCACCTAGTTTGTTTGCTACTGATCATGGCATCTAATAATTTTCATAAGAAATATTCTGCAGCAAATTAACAGCACAGAACAGGAGGTTCATTATGCAATACATCAAATACAAAAAAGTTGAGGTCCGTATAATACGTCTAATGAGAGTTCCAGGTAATGAACCAGTAGCAGACCTGCTGCCGACTTGCAATTTTCAAAGTTCCATGTGGTTAAAAGATACAAGAAGCTCACATCTAAATGGCAAAACAATAAAGCAAAATGTCACAACATGCTGTCTTCTGTTCATTTTATTACCTTCATATAACACTGTTAAATTAAACCAAACAAGTTTCAAAACCAGCTTGTCCTACATTCCTGCCCCAACTATGAGATGTGAAATATATGTTCATTTCGACAGTGGAGATCATGGGTTGAAATAGATTTAGAATATTTACCCACCAGATCTATAGTTTTAGCGATCTTTTTGGAGTCATCATTGCACCAGGTCTCACACCAGAGCCACTCTTGTGGCAGGGATTTGATAGTCACCTGATGGATCATGTTATTAGGTAGATCCTGTAGGGAAACAACAAAAATAACTAGGAACTCCAGAAATAAGAACATCATGGTGGGCAGCATTGCCAAACTTGTGAACCACTTGCTTTGTTTTCGTTTAACTATTTTTCTTACTTGAGCATCTGTTAAATTAGATTTATTTCTTTGCTATTCTATCTCTTGTTCATTCATTTTCTCCTCAATTGTTATTTAGTTCCCAGATATTTTACTTTCTCTCCCACTAGATCTTTGCCATTTTACTTATAATTCTGCCTGCCCCAACTACTTCCACAATCAATCTCTCTTCTCTTCAGTTTGTGAAATAGTCAGCTTTCTTTTAAAGGACACATAACAGTTCAAGGATATTGGATAATAAGTAATGTTGTCAAAAGGAAATTGGTTCCAGCATACTTCCAAGTATGCTCCGTTGGTACCAGCAGCAGAAGCTAGAGACAATCCAGCCACCTACTCCAAATGGGTCAGGGTCTTCATTTCTCTGCATTTTTCAAGCCAGTATCCACAGGGCATGCTAGGAGGGTGGAAGGAAATTATTTAATGGGAGGAAAACTTTGATTACTTTTTTTTTTAAATGAGGTACATCCGATCACGACCTTTCTGGAGTTCATGAAGCCATTTCTTTCATCCTCATCATAAACAGTAGAAGTCTTAGACAGACAGTAATGTACACTTGGACAAGTACTGAGGTTTAGAGTGTGCTCGGTTTATAAAACACGTACAAAATTTCTCTGAATATATATATTCTCTGAGTACAACACATTGGACGTTGTTTTGCACAAGGAACAAAGTTCAAGATGAATTATGTGAAACTTTAATCTGATTTTGCACATATTATGAAGCTAAGTAGAGACACTTCCAACATTTCACCCAGCTGTTAACACCATACTGAGGAAAGACTGACCTGATCCAGGTTTGACAGACTGTTTGGATCCTGGCTGAGTGCTTGATACTGACCTCGAAGTCGGTCACCTGCAGCAACCTTCCTAAATTTCTTCAAGTCCACAACATACAAAGCGCTGAAATAGAGATAACACAACCATTTGCTTGGAGTATCTTTTCAACATAACAGAGTACTATATTTGGGGCAGAAGGAACATCCACAACCATGAAGGTTACTAACTGATCATTATCACACTCATTCTCCCTATGTTCTGGCTACCAACTCCCTGAATCAAATGGGTCATTCAGTTATCTGTTCAAGTTCAATCTATTGAATGTATTTTGAAGTTGACATTTGTTCAACAAGGTAGAATCTTGGTAGTTAATACTTCTCTAAAATGCACAATTACTTTTGGCTCTGTGTAATATTCACCAGATATTATTATGCATTAAATTATATCATTAGCATACAAAAACAACTTGCATTTATATAGTACCCTTCACCCGAGTAGCTTCTCAGAGCACATACGTTAAATAGCAGCAATACAACATTATGCAATTAGCATTTAAATTAGCTTGCAATATCTTAATTACTTTTTGAAACTCCAGCCATATCATTACTTGAAGAAAATTGCACAGAAACAGTTCATGGTAAATACGCTATGTCATTTTCTGGAATGGCAAAGCGGGAAATCTGGGCAGCAGTGTTGTGATGTGTTAATTAACACCAATGATGTTAATTAATCAACTTTATGATCATTACCATATTGACAGATCCAAAGTTAATAAAAGTTGAGTAAAATTATTACATTACCCTAAAGCAGATTATCCTGCTTTTTAAAAACAAGATACTTTATTTCTCTCCTTTTCTCCCATGTGAAAATTATAAGTATCCCCTCAAAAAAATTCTACCTAATATGGTATTTTCTGCCTCCTAAATGTGAAGCCCAGTATCCTGACTTCCAGAAGCGGTAACCATCCATTTCTTTACGACTGTCACAGAAAGGTGTGTATCCGTAGGGAGCGCCCTCTAGATCCAAATCACGGAGCTCTTTTAAATCAGCTTTCACAATCTAGACAGAGAGAAGAAATGGACATTAAGTATTGAACTTGGAAGTTGTTCTTAATGAAATACTGTTTGGCAACCCTTTTATTTCCTCAAGGAAACAGATGAAAGAGGAACAAGGAAACTGCTGACAAGGATACTGATAAGGAAGGAGAAAAGGAAAGGGTTGAAGGAAAACAAAACATTAGGAAAAGAAGGAAGAGGGAGAAAGGAAAGAAGACAAAAAAAGGGAAAAGACATAAGATTAGGTATAGGAAATAAAAGAAAGAGAAAATCCATATGTCATTATTAAATGGCAACTTGCACAGGTAATTTAAGCTCACTGGAATGCTTATTTCTAAAACAAAGGTTATACTAATCCTACACTTTTTTCAGAAAGATAGTGCCTCCTTAGCCTGGAAGCTGCTGATAATAATAATCCTTGCATTTGATATAGTGCCTTATCAAGTCTTCAAGATATCTCAAAGCGCTTCACAGAATATATTGTAAAGTGAATTGACTGTATAAATTGTGGGCGAAATGTAACAGCCAATTGCGCACAGCAGTGTCTCACAAATAGTCGTGGATTGAAGTGACCAATTTATTATTATTTTTGCATGACAAAGTGATAAGATTTATATTCTTTAAAGACAACTGTCATTAATGTTCCATGTTAATCTTATTTAAAAATAAACACTTCCACATTTTACATCAGAAACTACTGCTTTCAGCTATTTACTCCCATAGCAGACTTAATCAGTCCTATTCAGCACAAAGCACTGTTACCTGGTCAGCATCAACAAAGATTATTTTGTCAATAGCTAATGGAAAAAGAACATCCAAGAAGAGGATTTTATAACCCCAGATAATTCTCTGTTTCTCAGTCTGCTGATGGAGCCATCGAGGCCATTTATACTGCACCAGCTCATATTGGAATCCATAATGCTTTGCCATTTCTGGAATGAATTCCTGAGGATAGATATCAAAGCAGTCAGGCAAGATACTCCTTTCGTAATACCAATAACTATCTCAGTTACTAAATTACTATAGATATGTAAAGCACTCAAAATACATGATGAAAGTTCTTCAGGCAATTTGCACGATTTACACTCAGTTATTGTATTCATAGTCTATCTATACATTAACAATAAAGAGGCTTGCTTGCTGAGGATGTCTTGCATCACATCATATATTATCATATTATGTAAAATAAACTTCCTCTGCACTTATTTTAATTTACTGAATATCAAAGTCCACTTACTTTGAAAGTAGGAGAGAGGTAATTTTTCAAAAACCAGAACTTGACAGGCGATTTGGTGTGTTTCAATACAGAAAGCATCATTATTCTGAAAATAAAGTTTAAAAATGGTTAGAGAATTTTACATTTCCCAGGCTACAAGTGCAACCTAAATACAGAAAAGGGCAGCTGCTATTGGATACAATGAATTATTCAAAAAGAAAATGAGGTCAGCCCCTGAACTTTGTACCAGTAAAACTATCATTTGCTCATCAAGAAAACAAAGTTGAAGCCATGTTTTAAATAGCTAAGGGAAACAGTTGATTGAGCACAATGCAAATGTTCATAAACACAAATCACAATAAACTTTGCTTGAGGTAATGAGGGGATCTCAATGTGGCTCTGGCCTTTAGAGTAAAACACCCACTTGATACAATTTTCATTTCAATCCAATTTATATTCAAATATGGAAAGTGCTAGCATAAGTTCAATTAAAAACCACTGGGACACTCAGTCATGGGCCTTGCCATGTTCTCTGAGATTATTATGCAGTCGACCTATATTTTATTCTTGAAAGTATTTACAATGTAAGAATTAATCATTTCTCCTTTTTCAGCCCTGCTGGATCTTTTCCCTTCCATTCCCAACTCCCCGAAATTCTCAGATTGATGATTTTCCTCTTCATGATCTAGATATTCCCTAGAATAATGAGGCCTAGGTTAGTTTCTAAGATCTTTAGAGGGTGACCTGCCCTCTACAAACAATACAGTGCATCCAGTGCAAGCTCTGCTGACTTAAAAATATCACCTGATAAAAGGGACATAACAGAGTAAAAATACATTATTTAAATAAATACTGACATGGCTTGGTAAGTAAATGCATTTCTTGGTTTGGTGCTGAGCAGAACATGATCTCTGATCTGTACTACAAAATAGAGTGCTATCAAAGCATCAGCGACCCTCTGCTGAAACATTCTCTGTAACTTTCCACAGGCTCGCTATTTAATCATGATGGGAGAAGTGGGTAAAGGAGTAAAGAAATAGCAAGAAATCGGAAACATTTCAAAGTGAAAAGCATTCAAATAAATAAAACCCTTATGGTAAGTTCAAAATACCACCTTACAAATTAAATCTTTGCTATTAAGTTGTTCAGCCTGTGAGACACATTGGAAAATTCTCACTAACAGCATAAAAACACTTCAACGCATGGTATTTCTATTTATACAACTGCTGTGGCACCACAGTCAGCAAAATACATTTTCTGTCATATAAGATCCCTTATACAATCCTAGCTATTTCTGTACCGCTGGAGAAAATTAGAAAAACAAACAGCCTTGGATTACTCTAGCTTGTGCTGCTCAACATCAAAACACAGCTGCTGCTGTTATTGCTCTAACAAGGCATGACTAAATCAATCATTTGTGTTGCAAAGCCAGCTTCATTTATCCAATAACCACCATCATTCCCATGCTTCATTCATTAGATAAAGATTGTATGTTTTTGTATGACTTTTCTTTCTCCCACTGTAGGGAGTTATCGTATGGTAAGGAGCAATGGCCTGGAGTGTCAACGTAGATAGCGACTTTAAATTAGCCAAGTTTGTTTTCCTCTGACTTTGTCTCCTAGGACGGGACTGAGTGACCAGAACTAGGAGAGAAGTGTAGCAAGAATTTTGGGTGGGACGATAAATTGTGTGGGGGTGGGGGGGGGGGGGGGAACTTTAGGAACTTGTACTTGGAAGATGTTCATGCACTAATGCATCTACAGCCGAAAAATGTGCTGACATTCCTGGACCCCACCCCAATGTAATATCATAATATTTTCTTGGATGACCTACCAAATTTAAAAATCCTATCTTATGGATCCCTTCGATGCTTCCTTAACCTGTATTTTACTTCAGAAGATCCAACATAATAAGATGACGCACCTCAAAAATCGCTCATACAGGTGTCCTGATGCAACAGAGAAAATGTTCAAGGTATTGTCCTCCTTCTGAATCTCCTCGGATTGTAAACCTCCTGCAAAGCTAGAATACAGGAACACATCACTTGGCAATTGAATATGAATTCAAGCAATTAGAACATTCATAGGAAATAGGTGATTCTGAGCTACATACAATTTGAGTTATTGGCTCAATTCTAAATTTTGTGTGAATTTAATTGCATGTATCATTTAAATGGTCTACACCCATTCAGTAAGTGACAGTTTTGTTCATTTCAATGGATAATTAGTGCAGCAACACCAAAATGCCCATTTTCCAAGAGCTGCTCTACTCAGGCAATGTCAATTTGAATCAGATCACTGAAGTGAAAGTACAGACATTCAAGCAAAGTTTAACAATAGATGTAAACCACTTACTGAATGATATTCTGAATGTTTTAATGATTGTTTTAACAACTTTCATTTTGTTGCAGTAGTGAATGACAAATCAGATGATTTCTGTTATTCAGCATCACTTATGTTGCTGAAATTCTAGTTAATCAACTGAAAAGAATGGTGGTGTAAAACATACAGAGATGTAACGTGTTTATATAGCTCCCTTCACACAGGATTGTGTCTTCAAGTGCTGAAACTCATTTTCATGCAGGATAACGTTTTGGAACTCGGTTACATAGAAACATCCTAAAGAAATAAATGCCGTCAACAATAACTTCAGTTTATTTATGTAACATATTTTTCCTGATTTAACTGAAGCCTTTTTAACATGAATCTCCATATTTATATAAATCTGTGTAAAATGTATGAACATTTCAGCTACAGTATACTCCAGTCTGTCCATTATGTACCACGCAAATCAGACTTCTGGAAGAGAGAGTTATACATAAACAATCTTAAATACTGATCTCCCAGTTCTGAAGCAATTCTCAGTCCATACTTAGTCCATTAAAACTCTTCAATTTTTAGCATTCTATTTAGGAAAGGCTCTTAATTTTATAATTAATTTTACTTCTGTAAAGAGCTGAAAAAAATGTTATGACATTTCTCAGAAGTATTTGTTTATTATTTTTTGAGTCCACGTTCTCTGTGGTAAACTAGCATTTTGGAAATTAGGAACAGAAGAAGTCATTTAGTCCATCAAGTCCACTTGGCTAAAACATCTCAGTTCCCTGCCAAATCTTTTTTGAATATGTTTTACTCCCAAATATCGATCAATTTCTCTCTTAAGACCCTTAACAGATTTCTCTTCTATGGTTTTTTGGGGCAATACATTCCAGATTTTTAACACATCTTGTAAAAAGGAATTCATCATCTCAATTGTAAATCATTTTACCTTCATTTCAACGTCATGGGTCTTCCAACTGATTGACCCAACAGGTAATATAGTCAAGATTATTTATTTTGTCAAAGCCCTTCATAATCCTGAACACCTCAATCAATTCACCCTTCAACCTCCTCAGATCCAGAGATCCCAAGCTATTCCTGTAGCTCAGCAGTTAGAGCACTCGCCTTGCAAGCGAGACACCTGGGTTCTCTCCACCTCTCAAAGCCGTCAGGAACCTCGGTGTTCTGTTCGACCCTGAGCTGTCCTTTCTTCCTCATATCCGCACCACAACTGGCACTGCCTTCCATCATCTCCGAAACATCGCCAGACTACGGCACTACCTCACCCCTCACACTGCTGAAACTCTGGTCCATGCCTTTATCACCTCAAGACTGGACTATGGGAACTCTCTCCTCGCCGGCCTTCCCACCACCTCCCTCCACAAGCTGCAGGTCATTCAGAACTCTGCAGCTCGTGTACTGTCCCGCACCAGGCTTCGCGACCACATCACTCCCACCCTCGCTCGCCTCCACTGGCTCCCCATCCCCCAGGGGATCGAATTCAAGATCCTCATCCTCACCTACAAGGCCATTCACGGCCTTGCTCCCTCCTACCTACTATCCCCCTACTTAACTGCCCGTACCCTCTGTTCCTCTGGCTCCGGTCTGCTCCACATCCCCCACCCTAACATCGGTGGCCAGGCCTTCAGCCTCTCACCCCGAGGCTCTGGAACTCCATCCCCCAGTGCCTTTGCCTTGCTTCCTCCCTTTCCTCCTTCAAGGCGGTCTCAAGACCTTTCTCTTTGACCGTGCCTTCAGCTCCCCTCTTGACTCTCTACCCCCTCCTCGCTCCCTCCCCTCACCCTGACCATTTCCCCCCTGCTCGGGTCCTGACCCAACTGTCCAGCGCCTTGGGACGTCCTCCCGACGTGAAAGGCGCTCTATAAATGAAATCTTGTTGTTGTTGTTCGATTCCCAGCAGGGCGACACCTTGGGCAAATTTCCTTACTCCACACGCCTGATAATAATCCCTCAAGAAAAAAAAACAATAATAAATTGGCCACTTCAATCCATGACTGTTTGTGGGACACTGCTGCGTGCAATTGGCTGCCGCATTTCGCCCACAAATATACAGTCAAACACAAGCATCAGGTTCAATCCCCAGTTATCCTTCCTCCCCCACATCTGGTCCCTGACCAGGACTTCTTTCCTCCGCCTCTGCTACATTGCCCGTCTCCGACAATACTTCACTCCACGAGCTGCCGAAACCCTTGTCCACACCTTTGTCACCTCTCGGCTGGACTATTCTAACGCCCTCCTCGTCGGTCTCCCCGCCACTGATCACAAAATTCAACTCATCCAAAACTCCGCCGCCTGCATTCTCACCCACACCAAACTCCGCACCCCGATTACTCCAGTCCTTGCCAAACTCCACTGGCTCCCTGTCACAGAGTGGATAGACTTTAAGATCCTCACTCTAGTGTTTAAATCCCTCCACACCTGCTAATCTCCTCTCTCCTCACAGCACTACCCACTGCGTCTGCTCTACTCGGCTCCGACCTCCTCCTTGTCCCTCGAATCCTTCACTCTACCATCGGCGGCCATGCCTTAAACAATTATGCTCCGAAGCTATGGAACTCCCTCCCTCAATCCCTTCACCTTGCCCCATCTTTCCCCATTTTCAGGTTGCGCCCAAAGACTTCCCTCTTTAACCGTGCCTATGGTCACCTTCCTATTCCCCCAGCTCAGCATCGGGTTCTGCCAATGTTAAGCGTTCCAAGATGCCACCTAGCATGGAGGGCGCTATATAAATGCAAGTTGTTGTAATTATTATTGTTGTTATGAATCCAGAATGAGTTTGGTGAAAACTGTGGTCTGATTCCAGGTCCATCAAATCTCCTGAAATACTATTAATTGTTTCCTGAATTGTTTCTATTTAATAAAAAAAATTATGATGATTGCATTTGTTATAGATCTTATAACATCAAATAGCTCAAAGCACTTCACAGGGATTTCCCTCAATATTACATCCCTGAAGAATATCACAAGCCAACTATCTACTCTAGCCTGTAATATTTGCTGTAGGTGGGCCAAAAAATGATGCTTCACTTTACTCCCGTCCTTTGGATGAGATTTTAAACCAAGGTCACAGCTGCCTGTTTTGGTTGATGTTAAAGAATCCACGATTGAAAAAGAGAATGGAATTTCTCCCAGTGACCTGGCCAACAATCCCCCAAATAAAATTGGTTACATGGTTGTTTGTGGGTTACTTCTGTGCGCAACTGGCTGCTGCGTTTCGCCCACAAAATACACAGTGATTCCAGTATATTACAGTATATTCTGTGAAGCGCTTTGAGATGTCTTAACGACCTGATAAGGCGCTATATCAAATGCAAGGATTATCATTACCACAGATAGTGCCCAATGACTAAGAAGGAGGCAAGGGAGGGAGTGAGGCGAAGGAATTTGGGATGGAGTTCCAGCAGATAGGGGCAGAGAGGCTGAAGGCCTGACTACCGATGGTAGGGTGTGCCAGGCGGGGGACATGGAGCAGGCCAGAGCCTGCTGAGTGGAGGGAGCGGGCAGGTTGATAAGGGGTTAGCAGGTCAGAGAGGTAGGTGGGAGCAAGGTGAGATAAAGAGACAAATAGCCGAGAGAGAAGGAAACAAAAGAAAAAATAAGAGAATGTGAATTCATTGCCAAGAGAGTAAAATGTGCACATTTCATAAGGGCTTTTCAAACTGGAAGGTCTGAATTTAAGGACATGGAAGGCACAGATAACATAATATAATACATAAAATGTTAAAATGCATGGGGATAGGAATAATATCCTAATCTCTGAAAACAAATCTTCATTATCACTTTGTGAAACCAGTTTGCTTTTTCATGAAGTCTCATCAAAAAGACTAATTTGTGTTTCTTACTATCTCTGATTTCACTTCAACAAAAAAAATCTTTATGAAATACCCAGTACTTCTCATGCTAGTTCTCAAGTCTGATCGGTTTCTTTGAATGATAACATTGTCTGGGGATCTTAATATTCGCAACATGAACTACAGCAGTAGGGGATCAAATGCACTTTGATCTTGTTATCTAATGAAGTAAAAACCAAGTATAATATAACAAAATTGTGGCTAGTGCTTTGTTTTTAAAAGAATGTCACTGACAAGGAAATTATTATTTTGCATATCAACATTTTAATTTAACTTGAACATTCAACAGTACAGCTTAGTTAGTTGTACTGAGACTATCCATTTTTTAGCAATTTTGAAATTTTTCAGGAATCTTTAATTTTGTATTTCTGCATTCTATTCCTTTTTTATACGAAAAAAACCTTCTCAAGCTAGTTCCCATTCTGTAACAAATGACATCCAATTTAGATTGTAGTTACTTCATACACTACAACAACAACAAGATTCCATTTATTCAGTTGTGGTGCGGATATGAGGGAGAAAGGACAGCTCAGGGTCGAACAAAACGCCGAGGTTCCTGACTGACTTTGAGAGGTGGAGAGTGCAGCCTTGGATGCTGATGCTGTCAGTGCCTGAGGTGCGGAGGCGCTGACGTGAGCCAATCAGGAGGGCCTCAGTTTTTCGCACGTTGAGCTGAAGAAAGTTGTCTCTCGTCCAGGACTCGATGTCGGACAGGCAGCTGTCAGGACATCGGTGGTCGTGGAGTTGAGGGTAGTGGAGGAAAGGTAGAGTTGGGTGTCATCCGCATACATGTGGAAGTTAACCCCATGTCTGCGGATGATGTCACCAAGGG